GGTCACACAGCTAGTAAGTGTCAAGTGTCTGATCTGAGACCAGATTTGGACTCAGGTCCTCCTAACTCCAGGCCTGGTATTCTGTCCACTGCACCACCTAGCTGCCCCCTAGAATGTTTCTTTAAAACAACATATAGTATTATCAGTTTTTAAAATCTGTGTATTATTTTAGACCTGGGAGAATAATCAGAATAAAGTTCTTTTTCAAAAGAACATTTTACAAATTAAAACAGAGTGAGTCCACAAGGATTTGAATAATACATATTGTCTCATGAAGCAATCTGAATTATTTTAGCCTTCATTGATTTTTTTGTTCGATTTCAGAAACCCAATCAGTTAATCTCATTTTTACTAAAATTGGTGTACATCTACTTCAAGCTTGCACAGTACAAGTTAAGAGCCAAAATCAGCACTAAATATCGAGCAAATCATACGATTAAATATCCTTAGGAGCTGGTACAGCTCAACATATAACCACCTTTATTTGATTTATATTACCAACTTAAATGATTTCCCGTCACTAGGAAAGGGAAAAGAAAAGTCTAGAAATCTTAAGTGTAACTGGGTTATTGTCTTCTCAAATAATAAAGAAATTGTTGTTTGTAAACTAATAAGTAGGATCCCTAAGACCTGCTTTGAACAGTAAGTCTTGAATATAAGGTGATAGCATCTGGTCCAAGTAACTGTATGCTTAGACCCACATTTTGTTGGTTAATTTCCTCTAACCACTAGAGGTCTCTAGGTTCACTTGTAATATGGGACCAATCACAATAAAGTCTATTATAGAAACTCTACTCCTTTACATTCAGATTTTTTTGAAAAATAAATATAGGAGTCTTGTTTTCTGCCAAACAGATTTTGTTTCTCAGTGGATTTTATCCAACTCTGACATCTTTTTTGGATATGATTATCTCGTATTTTGTTAAATCTTAACACACATCCTTCTAAATGTATTTCCACATAGGAACACTCATTGTTCAATTTTTTTTCTCTTTTCAACCACAGATATTTTGTTTTAATATATTAAGTATTTAATGTTTATAGAGCACTATGCTTACAGCTGAGATCTATGAAAAGTGTTGAGAAAACAAAAGTTGCTGAAATGGAGCTTACACAGTCTAGCTAAGGAGTAATACACAAATATTTCAATGAGTTTGTTGTGTGATTATTGTGGGAACATCTATCAAATGTAGACTGCAGTTCTCACACACCTTCTCATCATGTTCTATTCTAGTCTTCCCTTAAATAATTTGTAAAGGATCTATCCAACATGCTGGAGGCCTTCCTTTTAGATTCTTTAATATTCCATTGGTATAATTCAGGATTCAGGCTGTTATCCTTCACTCTCATTACTCATCTTCTCCATCGACTTTTCAAAGCACATATTTCCTAGATGATATCTTTATTGCTGCTTCTTGTATTCAAGTAAGATACCACAGCTATATCCAGGATGCATCTTTCCCTTAAGTTGTTTCCATTTAATTTTTCTTATGTAATCTGTCTTCAGTGATTATGGATTTTTAGTGAGGAGAGATTAGTATTCCAGTGTAATACTACTATACTAACATTCTGGGACTTTCTATGCACTTGACATATTGTTATCTGGAAGGTTCTGGAGGACTTCACTATTTATGGGGAATCTCTCCCACTGTTGACTCTGTAGCATATCCTCTATGTCAGAGGCTCTATGGAACATATCAATCTCTGTCTTATACTTCATTTGGCACTGTGGGCAAAAAGTTATCTAGATTGTATCCATTAAGGAATCTTAGATCATATTCACGATACATGGGAGAAAACTTGTAGGAAGAGAGCCTTAGGGAAATTTTTAAAATTGTAAGTATCATGGGCTCTTGTAAACTATATGCCTTTCAGTCACTTATATTCATTTCAATAATTCAACTAATATTTAATAAGTATTTACCATCTTCATAAGTAGTTACCATCAGTCTTGGGCCCTGAGACCAGAGTCAGGAAGACCTGAGTTTAGATCCAGCCTCAAACACTAACTCTGTGACCTTAGCAAATCATTTAATCTCCTTTTCCCTCAGGGTTATTATGAGGATCAAGTAAGATGATGTTTGTAAAGTGTTTAGCACTGTGCCTGGAACATAGTAGGTGATATATAAATGCTAGGTGGTGATGTTATTGTTGTTATTTTTTCAAGGAGCTTATCTTGTAGTGGTTCAGGGATGGCTGAGAAGACTATAACTTCTTGTATACAAATAAATTATATAAACTATATATAAAATGATATAGAGTAATTTCAAAAGGGAGGTAGCATTAATAGTGGGCATCAAGAAGAAACTCAGGAGGGACTACCTCCTTCATCTGTGTCTTGAAGAAAGCTCAAGATTCTAAGATTGATATGAGAAAATTTAGCACCAATAAAATATTTATTAACTGCCTTTTGTATGTCAGGCATGCAAAATGCTAGAGATAAAAGTAAAAGAATGACATTCTTAGTCATAGGGAGCTTACATTCCATGTATGGGGGATGGAGGAGGAAGCATGAAGCATGAGACGAAGGTCATTTATGGGAAACAGCAGTACAGCATGTCTAGAATAGAGCATATGAAATACAAATGGGGGCCAGATTATGGAGGACCTTAGATGCCAAACTGAGAATTTTTTATTTCATCCTAGAGGCCGAACAGAGCCATTGAAGATTTTTGAGTAGAAATGTAAATGCTGTATATTTTAGGAGTATCAGTTTGATTGATAGCTGTGTGGAGGGAGAAAGAGACGAGAGGCAAGGGAATCAATATAATATTATATATCATTTTTCACGTGTTAACTCATTTGATTCTCAGGACAACCCTGTAAGTAGTATCATTATCCCCATTCTACCAATGAGGAAACTAAGGCATATATAGGTTAAGTGACTTGCCTCAGTCACCGTGCTAGTCAGAATCGGAGGCAGGATTCAAACTCAGATCTTCCTGACACCTACTTGTAAAGAGAAGGAATGGGAGTGATTGACCAAATTTGTCATTATTGAGGTGGTCTCGTAGAAAGGGCCCTAAGAAAAGGCCACTTTGCAGTGGATAGAGTACTGGCCCTGGAGTCAGGAGAACCTGAGTTCAAATGTGACCCACATTGACTACTTCCCCCCCCCCCCAAAAAAAGAGCCATTCAGTTTAGCACATAAGATGTCATTGATGGGGAAAGCAGTTAAGTTTTGTAAAACCAGGTTGGAAGGGATTGGGAAATGTGTTGGAGGTGAGGAAATAAAAGCAACTATTGTAGAAGTTCGAATGTGAAGAGAGAAGGGATATAGCTTTATTGTTTGAGAGGGTAGCAGATCTAGTTAATTATTATTTTAAGAATGAGAGCAACTTGAACTTAGATAAAACATTATATATTAGGTAAAGATAAATGCACTTACTGTGTGTCAGGCACTGTGCTAAGCACTGAAGATATAATTACAGGCAGTTGAGAAAGTGGGAGCTTCCACATTCTAATGGGAGAAGAAGACTACACATAAAAGGGAGCTGAAAAGTGGGGAAGGGGTAATGCACTATGTAGGTAATGACGTAATTTGGTATGGAGCCATAGTTTGGAGGCAGATCGTGGTTCTTGATGACATGAGGAGAAAACTACTTAGCAGAGCTCAAGTTGGTTTCACAAGTGGAATCCAAAATTCTTGTAGGAAGGAAAGAGGCAAAGATAATCATCACTGAAGTGGAGACAGCATGGTTTGGAGCTGATGGCCAGGAAATTAGGAGGAGGGTTGATTTCCAGCAAGTTTGTGTGACTGAACAGGTGGTGTTCTATTAAAAAAAATTATTTCTAAAAGTCTGTTCCTTATTTTCTTAACAAATGGTTATGTAGATCATTCTCAACCCTATAACATCTTTATGTGAAAATTGCTTAGTTAATAACTGCCCAGGAGCATGAATTTTATTACTGCTTTTCCTCCTGGATAATCTTTCTCAGAATTACTTCTCCTTTCCACTGATAATTCATATCCCATGTTATACCTTTTCTTGGTATCCAATTTGCCAGATTTCCTGAGTATCTTACCCTTCCTTTTTTCCTATTCTATACCCTGAACTGCCTGCCTCTTTTTATCCTATTTTGTCAGAGCCCAGGCTTTAATTAAGGAAAATGAGGGTTGAGAAAAGGAATAAGAAAAAATAAAATGGGGGGAGGGGTCGGAGAACATTTATTCTTATCACAGTGATAATTTTATTTTAAATTAAGGTTCTTTAGATCTCATTCTAAGTCTCAGAACTTTCAGTGACTGTATTTTCACTTCCTATCTGTGCTTTGGACATTATTGATATTTATTTAAAATCACACACACAAAGCTGTGCTTCTATTTTGACTGTGAATCATTTCGTACTGGTTTGGGGGCAGATTTGCTCTATGATAGGAATATTTTAAATATTATTTGCATTTTGTTTGTATTCTTTTTATTCTATTTTGTCATGTCTACTAAATATTGTATTTTAATGCATCTTTTAGAAATGTTAAGAAAAAACAACCCCGTGGGAGCACCTTGTTCAGTCACCTGGGATGTAGTGTCTGCTTCCATGGTAACAATTGTAACTGTAACTCAGCCATGGGAGTTTGGGATTTTTTGTATGTTTTACCTTCTTTCCTCTTTTGTTTGGTCTTAACCTTATGGATTTGAAAGATTTTGCTCCTAAGAACACAAGTGAACTCTGGTAATTCTGATTGTGTTTTTTGTTTGTATTTTGGAGAAAAGCAGTATTTCATTTTGGTAATTTTTAACAAGGTGATTTCTTATAAAATATCAGTTGATTTCAGAAATTATGTTTTGAAAAATCTTTTAAATTATAGATAATTTTTTGTTTAGAGGATGCTTATGAATTTTAAATCTTAAAGGCAAAAATTATAAAACTTATATATAAACTATATATTAATTACCTTGAAATAGAGTAAAATTTTACCTATGATAATGTAAGATGTAGAAAAATGCCTTTTTTAAACTTAGTTTCTCTTACTGGAGGTATACTTTTTTATTTGCATAGGATCTAGTACTGGCAGAAAATAGCCCTGGAAGGGACAGTGCTGAGTATTTTATTGTATTTGAACCTCAACTACCAGCTTTATCAAGAACATTGGAACCATACCGTCTATCATTTATGTTTTATAATGGTGAGTTTTTCATGACAGGGATACTTAAAACTTTAATCACTTCATGTTATTTTAATGTGCAGTATAGTTATTTCAGGTACAATCAGGCAAATTATTGTTTCTGTTACTCAGTTTTATTAAAAACATTAATTTTACAGCATAAACATTTAAATAAAATAAATAAGTTATTGTAATTTTTTTTATTAGACTTTAGGAAGCAGCAGCAGATGGCAGCACTTACAAAAGAGAGAGACCAGCTATCTCAGTCCATTGTTCTGTACCGAAATTTATTTGATGCCAGCCATCAGCTTATTAATGAAATGAAATGTAAGTCGTGTCATTCAAGTGTTATTGTAAATTATTATGGGGGGATGGCAATAGCAGTTTGACAACTATACTTAATAGCAAATGTGGTTTTGATTATACCGTAGAAGAAAATGTGATTTTATGCACCCAAACTAAGTAACTTAAGGAAACAAATGTGAATATATTTTGACAGTACCTCCACTCTTAACCCTAATGTACTTTAAAAATTTTTTTTTGGTGAGGCAATTGGGGTTAAGTGACTTGCCCAGAGTCCACAACTAGTAAGTGTTATATGTCTGAGGATGGATTTGAACTCAGGTCCTCCTGACTCCAGGGCTGGTGCTCTTATCCACTGTGCCACCTCGTTGCCCCCTCTAATGAATTTTTTAAAATATATTCTTTAATGATGATTTTCATTATACACACACATACTCATTAGGTTGTTTGCTTTCAGAATATTAATGAACCAAAAAACAAGGGCAATAATTTCTATTGTTTGTTCTATTGCTTTTTATGAAGGTAAAGCAGTCATAGCTTATTAGTTAAAAATATGACATATGTGGATAGATCATTTCTTTTTGATAGACTTTGACTTCTCGATTATAATAGTCACATAGTGTTTTGTATACACTGTCTACCTCATTTCATTAGCTTTTAGATGAGCACCTAGTAAGTCCTCTCCTTCTTTGGGTTTTGCCTTTTTGTTTTCTGATTGACTAATGTTTGAATGTTAAAATAAAGATTCTTTAATATTGGTAAACATTTTACCTTCTCTAGACATCAAAATATCATGATGAATCTAGTTCTAGAGTACAGGATAAAAATTACTATGTTGAATACATAGCTAAAACAATGTCATGATATTTTGGTGTTTTAGTATCAAGCATCAAAAACTTTTAAGACCTATAAAAAAATGAACAATTCTTACTAGACTGTGTTCTGGGTTATTTGTTTTATTTATTACTTAATTTAGGCCAAGCCCAAGAAGCAGGGTCAAAAGAAGTCCATTTGAGGAATGAACTAAAAAAACACCATATAAACATTCCAACACCACCACAGGTATGTTTGTCAAATGTAATTATAAACATACATGTTAAATATATATATGCATGTGTGTATATTATTCTTAAATCTGAAGCTTAGAAAATGGTTTATATCATACAAGAAATATTTTAACATTAATCTGAACTTAGTCTTAGCAGTGATAAGGGCACTGATTTTTTTTGGTTAATAAGGAGGGTATTGGTTATAGATTACAGTTGTAGTTTGACCAGATGTCCTAGATGAGATTATCCAAGTCTTATGTTATCATGTTCTCAAAGAAGTTCAATCAGCAAATATTTTTTACGTCTGTACAGGATCCTAAGTTATGTACATGTGATTCAACAACAATAATCAGTATTTGTATTAATGATTATTACTAGGGTGATAAACACATACACAAAAAATTATTATTGCCTTATCGGATCAGGAGTGAGTTTATGGAAATGATGCCTAAGCTAAACCTTAAAGTAATATATAGATTATGAGATATGTTATTGAGGAAATTCCCGACAAAAGTGGTGGGAATAGAAGATGGAATATTGAATTTAGTCTGTAAATATTTATTAAGCCCCTACTATATACTATCCACGGGTGGAGAACCGGCAGCCTCAAGGCCACATGTGACTCTGTAGGTCCTCAAGTGCAGCCCTATGAGGGAATTCAAACTTTACAGAATAAATCCCCTTGATAAAAGGATTTATTCTATAAAACTTGGACTCAAGTCAAAAGGCCACTCCCAAGGACCTAGAAGGCCACATGTGGCCTATACTAACGAAGACAGTCTCTGTTCTCATAAGGAGCTCATAATCTAATGGGGGCAACAAGATACAAATAACTATGTATAAATAAGCTATTTACAGGATGAACAGGAAATAGTCAGCAGAGAGAAGGCATTAAGGAGAAGGAGAGGCTTCCTGAAGAAGTTAGGGTTTTATCTGAAACTTGAAAAAAGTCCAGTATTTTTGGGGTATGGTAGCGCTAAAAGGTAGCCCATAGTAATACGATGCCCTCTGGGAAAAGCCAGATATCTTGTAAATACAAGAGGAGGGAAAGAATAAAAAGGCATCTCTAGAGACCACAATGAAAGGCAAAGGACTAGGAGAGTTCAGAGTACTGCCTTTCCCTTCTACTAAAGGCTTGTTCAAAACAAAGAAAAACTGCACATTTTTCTCATTACTTATTTACTGATTTACTTCTTTATTGATTCAGACATGTAAAATAAAAATTGTGTGAAATGCAACTATAAGATGAAAGTTATCTTAAATACTTTAGTTTCTTCTTTAACATTTACTAGTTTTATATAGAAATATTTCATCCAGCATTGATTTATAAGCCCAACAAATTCCACTTTTTTCTTACTTTACAGTCTTAAGAGATTTTTTTTTTCAAAATAAATAAGAAAAAGGCTAACATTACCTACTTATCTAGTTTAGATAAGCCTTAGTGAATTGTTCTTTGAGGTTAAGTACTTTTCTCCTGGCCATTCAGCCATATTCCAATAGAATGTAAATTCCTTGAAGGCAGAGAAAGTTTTTTTGTTTTGTTTTGTCCGTGCATCTTCAAGGTTTGACATAATACCTTGTATAGATAGAGTAGGCTTTATTGTTGAAATGAACCAAAGTGTGAGTGTCTGAACCTGCTATCTGACTTTATTCATGACCTGCACTCTTTTACTCTTCCAAATTCCCTCTTTTTGAGGCTATTTTTTAAATTGATGAAACAGTAGTCCCCTTTGATTGGAACTAAGTGTGTGATGGGTAGGTAATGGTAGGTTGCACCCAGATTCTGGAGGGCCTTTAATACCAGACAGAGGAGTTTTTTGGTTTTATCTTTGGAGATAAGCAGTTATTTGATATCAGAGGACCTTTATTTCAATCTTTGCTCTGTCATTTGTTAACCTGTGAATTCAACAAGTCATTTAACCACTCTGGGCCTTATTTCCCTATCTGTAAAATGAAGAGATTGGACTAAATTCTATCCTAAGTACACTTCCAGTTCTAAATCTTTTGCCCATGAAAGTTTTTGAACCGAGAGAAACATGGGTATTTACCTGTGCCTAATCATAATTGTTTTGACAGGTACCATTCGGGGTAGATTGAAGAAAGGAAAGCTTAGAAGCAAGTAGACTTAATCAGGGCATCTATTGGGGTAGTTCATGCTTACAGCTCTAGAGGACCTCAAATAGGGTGTTAGCTCTGTGAGAAGAGAAAGGGATGGATGCAAGACATGTTTAGTAAACAGAATTAACTAAACTTGATAACTTATTGATTAGATAATGGGGGCAGTGTTGAGGGCAAGAATGAAGAATTTTAGGAAGGCTCAATCCAGGTGAATAGGAGTTAAGGTATTAAGGGATACCCTTAACAAATATTGAAAAATTTAGAGGAGGGAAGATGGTGACTTCCATTTTACATGTATTGCATGTGATAGCATATACAAACATGTCCACATATCATTTAGCAGACATTTATCATCTACTTTGTATAAGTCTTTGATGATAACATAGGAATATGTATTAGACCTGTAATTTCATTGATTTAGGAAACTCCCAGATAAGGATCCCTCTTCCACCAATACAGGCCTGCATTTCTTTGCAACTTAAGAGTCTTACTGTGTTGCCTGTAGCTCTGAGAGGCTAAGTGACTTATGCCACCTCACATAGTCTTCTAGGTGTCAAGGGGTAAAGGGGTGAAGGTTAGGGAGTTGGTTACAACATATGCACACTTACATACAGTTAAGGTAATAGATGGTGATTTCATATGGGAGCAAGTGCTGGTAATTGGAAAGGAGTCATGTTGAAGATAGTACTGTACTTATATCTTGAAGAAGCTAGGATTTTAATAGGTATAGGTAAGTAGAAAGTGTATGCCATTGGAGGCCGCATGTTCAAAAGTGTGGGGGAAGAAATGAAAATATTGTATGTAGGAAATAACTATCGGGCCAGTTGACTGGAACAGAAAGTGAATGAGGGGGAATACTATTGTATAAGACTGAAAAGGCAAGATGGCAGCTAGATCGTAGAGAGTTTTAAATCCTGGATTAAGGCTTTTGTAGTTTGACCTAGAGTCTCTAGGGAGCCATTGAGGATTTTTGAATGAGGGGTTGCCAGTGTGATCAGATCTTATGTTTTACAGAACTTTTAAATAGCTTTATGGTGAATGGATAAGGCAAGGGAAAGACCGAAGGCAGGGAAACATGACTTTTATAATAGGCTGGGCAAAAGGTGATTAGGGTCTGAACTAGGGTAGAAGTTATGGAGGTAACCGTAAGACAACAGATGGAAGAGTTGTCTGTTTTGTCCTCTACAATAAAACTTGGCAACTTGACTGGATATTGGAGGGGATAAGAAAGGGTAAAGTCAAGGATCACTTGAGATTGGAATACCTCAGTGACTGAAAATACAGTGATGTATTCAACAGAAATGGGGAAATATGGAAGAGGGATGGGTTTTTAGGTAGAAAACTAATTTTTAAATGTTTTGCATTTGAACTTCTTGTGGGATGGTTGAAGATGTTCAACATGCAGTCAGTTATGTAGGACTAGAGGTCAGGAGAGAGTTGAGACAGATTATAGATAAACTCATGAGTCCATTGCAAAGTGATGATAATTGAATTCATGGCAGTTAATGAAATTATCAAAAGAGAAAGAGAATAAGATCCAAGCACAGAGCCTTTAGAAATGCGGTATTTTATGGATGTGTGGAGGGGGGTGGGGTGGTTATAATAATCTAGCAGAAGAGACTGAAAAGGAATAGTTGGAAGAGTAGGTGAATCAAGAGATCAGAGTATAGCCATGGAATCTAATGGAAGAAGATGAGTATCATGAACAGAAGTAGTTAACAATGTCAAAAATTGCAGAAAGGTCAAAGAGAGAATCAGGACTGAGAAAAAATGCCTTTGGATTTATCAATTAAAAGACAATTTCAGTTGAATGTTATGTTGGAAACCATATTGCGAAGCAGTGAGAAATGAGAGGGTGATGAGCAAATGGAGACAACTTGTAGACAGACCTTTCTAAGAATTTAGTTTTTTAAAAAAAATTTAATTAAAATATTTATTATTCCCTTCTCAGAAACCAGAAAGTTAAGAAAACAAACTGTATTTTTACAACCCACATAATCTGCAATTGAACCTAACTGTCTAGTTCATGTTTTCAAGAGAAACATCATGTTTAACCAAAGACAGAAGGGTGTACACTCTGCAAATGCAGAATTTATAGAGTGAAAGGTAGGAGAGAAAGAGGATGGTAGCTTGGGATGCAGAGGCAAAGTCAAGTGAAGCTTTTTTTAAGGACAAGAAAGATTTAAATCTTCAAGATTTTATTGAGAAATGTTCTAAAAAATAGGAGCCAGTCAATAGGGAAAGATTGAAGATTAGAAATATAAAGTATAGTTAATCCCCTCCACAGTGTGACTTTTCCCATCATGGTTTCAATATATCATGGGTCAGCATAAGAAATTACTGTCAATGGGAATTTTGGAGAAGTTTTGTGTAAGCTACAGATGACCTGTGAAGGCCTGCAGATGACTCAGAAGAAGTTTGGCATCCCTGAGAAGATACCAGAGTAAAAAATTTTAAAACCATTAGCTTTCTCTTAAGTGTAACAGTCTAAGCAGCTTAGCGAAGCTTTATTTAACAAAAGCCCTGAAAACTGAATTTTAGTGACTTCTACCTACTTCCCAAAGTGAATAATAAGCATGTAATGTTGGCTAAAGTACTTGAAAACAAGTTCAGTAAAAATGGAAGATTACTACAAAGTAGTAATCACAAAACTAAGGAATTTCAGTTTAATATCTTTTGTTATCCATATAGTATGTTCGGTATTATTTTCCCTAAATTTGTTTCATTTTAAAATTTTTTTCATATTTTGTATTTTCACAGTATTTTTACTTGACATTGACATATACATATTTGTGTGTGTGTGTGTGTGTGTGTGTGTGTGTGTGACACACATATATATATATCACTTATGACCAAATACTTAACCCACATTTAATAAGGTACTTTAAATGCCCTGTAAAAGAAAAAATTCAGACTTCTGTGATATGAAGGAAGGTTCAAAAATTTTTACACTTTACAGATCATGCCTCTAACCCCTGTGATGTGGAAGGGGATAAGTATAGATCATATCAAAGGCACCAGCAAAAGACAAGGGTCCTTTCATGCTCTGAACCTGGAATAAATAAGGAGAAGACTTATGAAAATAAAGAGAAATTTTGAGGTAGAAAGTACAGGAAAAAGGCAATTTGTGATGGATGAATTTGATTTTTTCTGTAAAGTAGAAGTGAGGTTATATGTTAAGAAAAGACATGTTGGCTAGCATTTGGCGAAGTGTCTGACACACAGTAGATGCTTATTAAATTTTTATTGATTGATTGGCTAGCATTGGATGCTAGTGGAGAGAGGTTTTTCAGTGAGGCATTCAAAGTGAAGAGCGTCAGGGATGCAAGGAAGATCACCATAGCAGTTGGTAGAACGACAGAGATAGTGGCCAAACAACATTGCGTATCAACCAGTGCAATTTAATAGCTTACTTTAGTTCAGAAGAAGGGACTCTTAAAACAGTGACATGGGGTAGAGGGAGAGAGAGAGAGGAAAAAAGGGGCATTTGCAGTGTAGATTTTCTAGTTCCTTACTTTACATGGATAAACCATTTCTCAGATAGAAAAAGAGCTGGCATGCACTTGCCTGCTCCACCACCCTAGGAATCGGGATCTCCTGATGGTTTGCTGAGATGTGGTTTGCTGCTGGCTTGCTGGAACGCCTCCCATTCTATGCTGGTCCCCTACAGCCACAGCATGGAGGACTTTTCCCGTTAATACCCCTAGTCCTTTGAGCTAAAAGACTGCTGTACCTCGTCTTTCTGCTGGCTTCACTATTCTAGGATTTTTTCTTGGGCAATATTCTCCAGGTTTTTCAAGGTCAATAAGGGAGGGTGAGAGAGACTGACTGCTTCCCTCTGCCATCTTGGCTCGCAGAAGTCAAAATACATCTAGCTAGTAAATATTTAAGACTGAATTTGAACTTAGGTCTTCCTGATTCCAGGTCCAGCACATTATCCACTCTTCCACCTAACTAACTCTGTAAGCAAAATTAGTTGCAGTACATTTCAGACAGTTATGGTTTTAAATAAAATATTTATTTAGTTCTATTTAGAACTATTTAGAACTATTTAGTTCTTCCTGTCTGCCTTATCCCACTGTGTTAGGTTTCCTTCCCTTATATTTCCAATTGTTATTCTGAGCACAGTAGACAAATCCCAGTACCATTAAAAGGGATGTCAGTTGACTGCCCAGTGGATCAACTGACATCCCTGTCATCTCTAGCTCAGATTCCATTCCTGGTCCACTACTCCCTTATATGGGCTGTCTCCTCCTGTTAGAATGTAAACTCTTTGAAGTCAGGGACAGTCTCACTTCCTAGTTCTTAGCTCTGTGCGTGGTACATAGTAAGTGCTTAATGGATGCTTTGTCCTTCATTTGTAATTTACAGCTGTCTCATATTGATATGCTTCTCAAACAAAAGTTATCAGAACAAGAGGGACTAAAGAAGCAACCTAGGAGATCATGTACTCTTCCAAACTGCCCTAAAGGCAATCCAGACATTTTAGGAAAGGTGAGTTTCTTTCTATCTTTAACTCTTTTGAAGAGTAGTTTAGGTTATTTTCTCTTCTTCTTCTTCATTTTTGTCTATTTGTATAATTAGCCCAGATAATAGCATGTCTCTTCCTTTTTCAGTGCTTGCTTTTGCTCTAGCCAAGTTTGAAATACATACACACCAATAGTTTCATAGTCTTGTTCCCAGTGATATATGTGGTAGAATTTAAATAAATAGGTTAGTTGTTCTTTTAGAGCTTTGTTCCTGTTTAGCTTTTCATTGGTTCATCAGGTTATAAGTAGGTGCTATCTTTATCAGTAGTTCAGATTTGAATGAAACTACAGAAGAATGACAAAAAGGATCGAAATTAATGTGAGTACTGAATCTGAAATGTTGTCAAGTGTGTTCAAAGATGCTCTGAGAATTTATTTTTATAAAACAAGTACAATTTGAATATGTTTCTTAATGACAGAAATAGTGAATTTTTTCTTTCTCTTATTTTTTTTTGTTTTTTCCTCTGTCAATTTTGCATCTTTCCAGGTGAGTAGGGTTATTTCCAGTTGCATATACTTAATTTTATGTATTTTCAACTTATAATAGGAGGTTCTTTCTCTTTCTAGTTGGGCTTGATCCTTTCCTTTACATTCTTTTTTTTTATTTTCAGTTTTTTCTTTAAATTTTTGTTTTATTTTGACTTTTCCTAGTGTTTATATGCATGAGTGTGTTTGTATCCCTTTTTTGCCTGCTTTTCTCGTCTTTGTCTGTACATCTTTTTTCTTCCTATTCTTTCCTCAGGCTCCTGAGTTCTGATTTATACTTCTATACCACTAAAACTGTTCTGAGCATGGTAATACTTACAGGTTGGAAGGAAGGGATGCACCTAGACTCAGTGCAACACTTCCTCCTTCTCTGCAGGTGATATTTACTCACAAACTTCTTGAGTGCCATGCAGGGCTGGACTAATGAAATTAATATGGTCAGGAATTGAGATGAGAAACTGTTCTTGATTTTTCATCAACTCTGGATGTTGGCCAGTTTGGCAACAAATTTCATTGTTGAGCAAGTAAAATAAATTCCTGCTTTGAGATTATTTATCAACAGTATGCCATAAAGTCAGACGGCCAGTTTTCTTAGATAGTAGCATTGAGTAGTTTGGGAATGTTCCTCTTTTCATTAGTGGCCTATGTAGAACCACATCAAAGAAGTGGGATAGTGTTTGCGTTAAGATTGAGTAGTCATCTTTATTTAAATCATTTTTAGTACTAGCTTAAAAAATAAGAAATTCTGAAAAAAAATTGAAAAAAATAGTTTTTCCAAAGCTTAAAATCCACACAGATTGTGGAACAAGATGTGCAGTTTCTTGGCGTTTTTTATCTTTGTAAAATATTCTCAGTAAGAAAATAGATTTGTAGAAATAGTTATTTATTCCTAAACATTTACAAGAGATTCAGTTTTCAGTCACTCAGGCAGAATGGCACCCTATTTCAAGTGATTTAAAAAACAGTCATAAAGCATGAGTGAGAGATAATTTGCCAAAGCTTAAATGAAGTTTAATACTAGAAGTGATTTAACAGAATTTTTAATCCATTAAAAAGATGTTTCCTTTTAACTTTTTTTATTCTTCTCACTGTAAGAAAAAAAATTAATGACATCCTGAGAGAGAAATTTCTATCCAAATAAGGAAACTAGGATTGAGAGTTGTCCACGTGTTACTGGACACCTTGAATCAAAGGAACAATGTGGAAATTATTTTCTCCTTTTCCTGGTGCATCTCAGTGCTGCTGAGATCAAACATAATGCCAAATAATCAAACATTATGTCACTTTTCCTAGCCACCTAAGATTGAGTCTTGAAAAGAGAGGCTTATACAATTTTAGTAAATGACCAGTAGCCAGTGCCAAGATAGAATCTAAACTCCCCAAACAACAGAAAAACTATTCCTCAGTTTAACGTCTTTGTCTTTCTTTTCTTTATTCGTTAGCTCCCTGCCTTCCTGACTTAGCACAAACGAATAAGGGAGTCTACCCTAGTCCTGGAGGGGGATGACTTGATTTAACCCATGGATGCTTCAGTAATTTTCTCCTCAAGTTAAAAATATTTGAAATTATTTTGTCTTTTCAGGGCCACTACCAGTACCACTAAATGATGAAAAATTAATAACTGAAGAAAATAGCAGTGCTAGCTTAGGTTATATTTAACAAAATAGAAGTTACTAAAGTTGGAAGGAACAACAATAGTTTTAATCTATTTTCAAAATTTGTATATAGACCTAAGAGTACTGTTTTCCTCCTCTATTTTGTAAATAAATGACATCCAAGCATTGTTTTTGCGTTTGATATAGACATCTTAGAACTTTTGACTTCTGGCTAACTCTGAATATGACAAGATGAATTGAAAGACCCAGCTTCTGCATGTATCTTCACCAACAACTGCTTTACTATATAGATGTCTTTTTGCTCACTCATCTACTAGGAAGTTAGCTTTGGGTTGTACCATGATTTCAAAAATAGTGACTACCTGTAAATGAAACCTAGTTATGTAACCAAGGTGAATATGAGTGTTCCACAATTGAAATCTGTCCCCTTTGATCATAAAGAAATAAGAACATTGGTAGTGCTCTTTCCCTTTCCTGCAGATATTCAGTTACTGTTGGGCTAGTTTCTCTCATTTTTTTCCTGCCTCCTTTTCCTTTTTCTCCTTGGTTAAATCCTGGAAAATTGTGATCTACGCATAATGATTTTGGTGACTCTCACAGTGGTGTGTGACAGGCTTTGATTACAAAGCCAGAAGTGGACAAAAGAACTGTTAGTGGGCAAGATGGAGCCAACTTTCACGACAGTGATATTCTAACATTATGTAAAACTTGAACTGGGAACTTACTGTTAAAAGGTAGACATTATGAGACCATAGTCTCACAAATAAGCAACATTTCAGGTGAAAGAACAGTGAGAATCTGCAGAATTTATTTTAAAGTAGATTTTTATTAATGTAATAAATATACAAATATTTGAGAAAGCTTTCTCAGCATCTGTATTTTAAATGGTTTATGAATTGTCTGTTAAAATGTTAAGTATCTTTTCATTTTTTCATTTGCCATTTTTTCAGATCTAAAGAATTTAACTATTTAGGGACAAAATTTTACAAAATTTTGAGTGTAAAAGATTTGAGCCAGAAAACAAATTTTTTTGACCCTAGAGTGTTATCAATACATTTTTAAGTGGATTAGAAAATGTTTGAATTTTCAGGATTCCTAAATTCAGGATACATCTTTGCAACCATTAAAAGTGATGTTATTTAGGCAATTGTACACTTGGATTTTTAAAATCTTCACATTTTTGTGCATTTTTAAAATTTTAGTTTTGAATGTGATTTATAGATTGCACACTTGGCACAGATTGAAGATGATGAAGCTGCGAAGGTTATTTCTTGGCATTTGGCAAGTGACATGGACTGTGTGGTTACTCTAACCACTGATGCTGCTCGTAGAATCTTTGATGAAACTCAGGGTCGACAACAGGTGTTGCCACTTGATTCTATTTATAAGAAGACTCTTCCAGATTGGAACAGGTTAGAAGAATGTGAACTTAAACATTTTACTTTTTCTAAAGTACATTTCTAAGCTGTTTTTCTTTTTTGGATAAAAATAATTTAAATTGAGGCCAATTTTTTAAAAGGCATTTAAAATAACTTACAGAATAGTAAATCAGTTAAATAATTGCAAATTTTGTCTTCATATTTATTGAACACTATTAATAAGTGCTTCATAGCTACTCTGCCGTTTTTATCAGTGCTAATATTGATAATATAGTGACACTGATCACATTTGAAATTTAATTTCTAAGGATTGTTACATTATATGTGTGTACATACCAATAAAGAGAGAGCAGATCCATAGTATTTGCTGAATACAAGTTTTTAACATTCCATGAATGGGGATATCCCACTAATACAGTGCTGTACATGATAGTATATTTCAAAGGAATAAGTAGGTTTCTCCTTTCACCCTTTCTTCTCCTTTTTGTGCTTTTCAGGTAGAGGAAAGGATCAAAAGACAAAAAATATACAGTAGAGTGACTGAACTAGACTAAGCTGGAAATGAGAATTCCAGGCTGTATTAGAGAGAGATAAAATTTACATAGCCCTCAAAACTTATTGATACTTACTGGATAATAACTCTTTGCTTCTTTTTTTTTTTTTTTCTCACCTGCAATCTGGCTTCTGAACTCATCACTAAACTGAAACCTCCCTCTCCAAAATTTTTTATAGGTATCTTTTGGGTTTACTTGACCTTTATTTTCTAATAAAGCCTTTCCCTACCCAGGGAACTATTCCTTATAAAAAAAGGAAAAGAAAATCTAACACATAAGCAGAGTCTAACAGCTTTAATATGTTCTATACCCACAATCTCCTATCTCCATGTAATTTCTCATTTCTTCCTTGGGACCAAGCTTGATTATTATGATTACATAGCTTTGAGTTTTAATTGATTTTATTGTTGGTCTTTCTATTTCTTTTGTTATCTTAATTTATATGGTTTTCTGGTTCTGCTTACTTCAATTTTATCAGTTGTTATAGATACTCTTGTCCAACTCTTCCCCCTGGCCCCACAATATCTCTTCATGTCCATCCCTTTCTTTCACTCAGCCACATCCACTTAATTCAAGGTCTCATCACCTTTTTCCTGTTCTATTACAGTGGCCTTCTAATTTCCATCTCAGTTTATCTGCCATTTCTTACATAATGACTAATTCTTCAACCCCCGCTTTCCCTACCAACCTATCTTCTCTACCAAGCTATTATTGCCTCTCTCCACAGATTACCTTATATTTATTTTTTGCCTGATTTGTACGTACTTATATGTATATATGTTGTTTCTCTCACCCTTTGAGGGCAGTAACTTAAAAAAAAGTTTGTGTTCCTACTGCCTAGCATAGTTAGTACCTATCACGTTGTAGATATATACTAAATGCTTATTGATTAATGCATTTATTTGAACACTAATGCTACCAGAAAACTAGGAGATACTTCAAAGAAGTCACTTTGTCTTTTTTATTCTTTTTTTGAACCTGTCCTTCTATGTTTCCTAGCTATCTGGTACCCTTCATTGTTTTTGCTCAACGGTCTAGATTCTACTCTTCCATTCTAAAATTTCTTTTCTTACTCCGAATCCAGTAAAATAAAAACAGAAACATATACTTGCTGAGTATTATTATCTGAATTTCAGTAATGACCTAATTAACCAATAATTTGTGCCTCTTTAACTGCTTGATTTTTATCTATCATGTAGATGAGACAGTGATCCTTGCTTCTCAGAGTGCATAGCCCAATATAATTATAAGGCATATACAGGGATAAATGTGTCAAATGCACACTTGTTGCTTTATAAAGGTCCCAGGTAAAGAGAGAGACGATTACTGCATAATGGTTGGATGGTAGAATATGCAAAACCTTCCTTTATAGGAAATGGCACTTGGAGACACTATCAAGGACTATTAGGGTTTCAGTAGGCAGAAGCAGCAGAACATTGCAGATATTGGGAGTGACCCATGCTGTGGTCAGCAAAGGCACCTGCAACATGAGACAGCAATCATTCAATCAGCAAACATTTATTAAAGCCATATAATATGCCAGGCACTGTCCTGGAAGCTGGGGATACATAGACAAAGAATGAATTAATCTCCACTCTCAAGTAGCTTATATTCTAATGGAGGAAACAAAAAGCACATGTATAATACATACAGAAGAAATATAAAGAGAAGAAATACAAGTAGTTTAAAAAGGGAGGGCACTATCAGTTGGGGGATCAGTAATTATTTAGAACGTGGTGCATGAACAGTGTTTTAAAGAAAGGAGGATTCTGTGGGGAAGAAGTAGGGAGGCAAATAGATTCCATGCATGGGAGACAGGCATAGCGAGGAGATGACATGCCATTTGTGGGTAATCCAGAAGTCAGAGAGAAGTAGGCTGGAAAAAACAGTTGAGGCCAGATTGTACCAGATTATAAAAGGCCTTGAATAACTGGCTAAGGATCTTGGCAATAAGTAGTTACTGAAGGATTAAAGCAGGTGATAATCAAATCTATTCATGATTGAAGGAGAGAAAATGGGTGTAAGAAAATTGGACAGGAGCGATGCAAGGAGGGTCTGTACTAGGGTGATGTGTAGAAATACGGAGTTCCAGAAGGGACAGATGTGAGAGATACTGTGGAGGTAGCATCGATAAGACTTGACATGTGATTGGATATGGAAGAAGTAAGAGTCAAAAAGGGGAGAGGAGAGTCTAAGACTGAACATCAAACTTTGGAAAATGGGTCAATTCTGCTATATATGGAAATAGGGAAGTCAGAAGCTAGAACAGTTTTTGGGGAAAGATAATAAACGTGACTTTTAGATATATTTTAAAAAGTGTATTCTGAACTTAATGAAAAAATATCAGCATTTTCATATATGAATTAAAATCTCTTCCACATTCATTGCATTACTTTCAAAACTGCTGCCTGTATATGTTACCTTTTGTACCACTGTAAAATTGTTTAAATATTTCAGTGACCCTTCTCTTCTATCATTCCTGCTTTTTTTGTTGTTACACTAATTTCTCCCCACCCCATCCCCATCCCTATTTACTTCAATTTAAAATAAAAAACAATAGCATTGTAATGAATAAGCACAGCTAAGCAAAACAAATCTACCCAGTGGCCATGACCAAAAATGTTATGTCTGTCTCTTTCTGCACCTTAAGTCTATCACCTCTCTGTCAGAAAGTTAGTATTTAGTATTATAAGTCCTTTGATGTGCTTTGATCAGAGTTCTGAAGTCTCTCAAAGTTTTCTCACTGGATAAATTATTCTTGTTCTGCTCACTTTATTCTCCATCATATCGTATTTGCCAGGATTTTCTGAAATTATCTCTAATGTCATTTCTTACAGCACAATAATACTCTATTACATTTATTTACTGAAATTTTTTCAGCCATTTCTCAATTGATGAACACCTCCTTAATTTCTAGGTCTTCCTCTCCACCCCCTTTTAATCTACTTCCCTCAGTATCAGAAAGTTTGTTTTGCTTGTAATTATCCCCCCCCCCCCTTTTTTTTTTTTCCTTCCCCCCCCGCCCCCCCCCCCCCCCCCCCCCGGTCCACTGTCCACCATCTCCCATTCCTGCTTGTGCTGAGTTTGATGTATTTCTAGGCCAAATTTTGTGAGCTTCATTTGTGAGTTTAATTCCCCATTATCCAGTGCAGAAAAGGGTGAGGTTCATTTAATATCTGCTACTCCCACCTGTTTCACCATTTTGATATATCTTTCTTCTCACATACCCAAGTTCTTAGGAATAATAAGTTCTAGCCCTTCTCACCCTGTAAACTCACTGTACTTCAACAACCTTCTCTCTTTGGAAGGATCCTCCTTCCCTGCACCTCCTTCCCCTGATTGCTTCCAATTGCTTCCAGAAACCTCCATTTTAAGTGGAGTACCCAGACCAGCCATGTTCACTTCTTTATTCCTCTCTGGGCTTTGTTGCTGATTCTATGGCTTCCTTTCTCCACCAACCCTTTATACTATTTGTTGTCTTCTGCCATTACAAAGTAAGCTTATTTAGGACAGGGAATACGTATCTTTTTGTTGTATTCCTAGTGCTTAGCACAGTCCTTGGCCCATAGTAATAACTTAATAAATGTTAACTTATTCTTCCTTTTTATCATGATACAATCCTCCTTTCTACACTAATGTAGTTCTCCTTTTACTGTCCTTTTCCTTTCTCTATTTTCTTTTTTCTTTCTTTCTTTTTTTTTCTTTTTTGATGAGGCAGTTGGGGTTAAGTGACTTGCCCAGGGTCACACAGCCAGTAAGTGTCAAGTGTCTGAAGCCAGATTTGAACTCCTGACTCCAGGACTGGAGCTCTATCTATTGTGCCACCTATTTGCCCCTCTTTCCTCTCAAAGTCCTCAGAACTAAACCAAACCACCTCCAGATCTTCTCTTTTTTCTTATTTAAATCTGCATGGCCTTTGAAAAAGTTTTTGAGGGACTCTTCTCCTCTTACTAGAAAGTGAGCCCTTCACTATAATACAGCACTTTCATTTGCTCAGATAATTTTGTTTTTCTAAATTTCTCTTGGATCTTGTGTTTGCATTTTCAAAGTTCTTGCTTAGCTCTGGCCTTTTCATTAGTAATGCTTGAAAATCCTCTGTTCTGTTAAAGGTCTTTTCCCTGTAGAATTATACTCAGCTTTGCAGATTAACTTATTCTTAGTTGTAAGCCTATTTCCTTTTTATTTTGCATTGTTGTTGTCTCAGATCTCCTCTTCTTCATGTGAGAAGCTGCCAAATCTTGTGTGATCCTGGCTGTGGTACTTGAATCCTTTTTTTTTCCTTTCTTTTTTTCCCCTCTGGATGCTTTCAGTATTTTGAGATAGGGATCTGGATTTTGGCCTTGACATTCCTGGCCTTTTCTTCTTTCGAAAGGTGATTGGTGAATTACTTCTGTTTTCATTTTGCCTTCTGATTCTTATAGACCTAAGCAGTTTTCATTTGTGATTTCTTAACATAAAGCACCCCATTTTTTTTCCTTTACTTTTGAAATGATGACTTTTAAGGAATCCAGTGACTCTTAAATTATTTTTTCTAATTTCTTTTTAAGTGTTCATGTAGTCCTTGTGGGAAACCATTTTTTCACTTTCAGTCTTTGCTTATAGTTGTTATGGTATTACTGTCTTGATTTAGAGTTTTGAATATTTTTGGATCCATTATAATTCTTCATATGGCCTACTTCTTTTTTGTATTACTCATTACTTTATTTTTAGAGGGAAGTAGGTATATCAGCTCTGCTTCATGTCTACCTTGGTCACTTGGGTTTTTTGTGTTGACCTTTACCTCCTTCAGTTTGGCCCCTCTAGATCTTTGAAGTTCATAGTAGTGATTTTCAGGCCTTCTCTAGCATCTCAAGATAGAGTCTGAGTATCCTAGAACCTTAGAATGTCTAGGCCAGGGCTGTCCTGCTTTAAGCACCATTGTGCTCTGACTGGTTGCTGCTGCTCTTGAGCCCTTATGGGTTTCCAACCACCCTGGGACTTTCTTAGGGAAGACCTCCTGCCCCCATATACCAAACCTTTCAGGCTACAATTGTCTCTGACCAGTCTCTCGTTATCTTGGGAGACCTTTGGCTTGTTTGCCTGAGTGTAGGCTCTGGCTTGGCTTGCAACACCCTTTCCTGTTGCCCATGGTTTTCTGGCTGACTTTTAGTGCATTTCAGGAGGGTAGAAATCACAGTAGTTTTTCATTTCATTTCTTGATCTGTGATTTTTTTTTCCCTGCAGTAGTTACATGGGACCTACCTCCATTCAAACTACTATGTTGGCCTAAAGTCTGCTTTAGATATGTTGGGTTTGAGTTGCCAGAAGAATATCCAGGGGTGAATTATCTTGGGAGGGGCCATATGGGGTTCAAGAAAATTCAAGGTTGGAGGGAATGATTTGAGAATCTGTCTGTATAGACTTGATTGGTTGTTGTCCTCCCTTCTTGAAGAGGACCAAAATGACATCACTATGTTAGTGTCAAGTTAGGTTGTGTCCAACTGTGGCTGTTTAGACCAGTATGAGCTCTGAATGCTCTACCATAGATTGGGCACAAATGGTCCATGTGATCATTTTGGGTGGATTCTCTAAATTTGTGCATCTTTTGAGCTATTTCAATTCTGCTTAGCTCATAGAGCACAGCATTTTCTCTGATGGGGGGAGGGGGCATGACATGTTGGGTGGTTCTGTGCCAGCATCTCCCATGTCACACAATCAATTCCAAAGTTCTTAAGAGAGACCAGTGTCCTTGTGTCACTTCTTCTGACCACCACATAGGTGCTTTGCCCACAAAATAGACAAGTGTACCTTTGGCATTCGAACAACATGGCCAGCCCATTGTACTTGTGCTTTCTGCAGTAGTTTGAATGCTTAGCAGTTTAGTTTGAGAAAGGACATCAGTATCTGGTATCTAATCTTATCCTGCCAGGTGATTTTCAGAATCTTCCTAAGACAATTCAGATAAAAGTGATTCAGTTTCCTTGCATGGCACTGGTATACTGTCTAGATTTCACAGGCAATATACACTTGAAAATAAAGCCATGAAAATGAATTTAATTATCATGGTGATATGAGAGAAAAGAATAGCGTCAGGGTCACTGCTTTAAGGACAAAGACATGAAGAGGTCTAAAAAAAGTATCCAGTAAAGGAGACAGATGATGGATATTTGTCTTTGTACCCTATAGTGCCTTGGAATATAGTAGATAGTTAAAAATTGTTAGATTGGATCTAGCATAAGATTTGGGAAGCCCCCTGACTATAATGTACTCAGCTTGCTTCCTTAGACCTTTTGAGAAGATTGTGACTCTAATTTAGGGTTTAACCTTATGTTGGGAACTGTAGTGTCTTATAAAGTATCTATCATCAAATAATAAATAGGCCCAGTCTGAATTTTCTCTGTAACTTCAGAAGATGAAATAGGAAAGACAAAACAAACATTTTTCTAATATTAATGTTTGAAGTCCTTAGTGCAGAATAGCTGAATAGTTTGAGAAACACTTGATTTAACAAACCCTCTCCAGATTCAGATATTTCAGAATTAAGTTATATGTGAACATTAGGGAGTTAATTATATGACTAAAATTATATACACTAGCTTTTCATTATATTTTTCAAAGTGATGATGAGAGAAATAACTCTAATGTTATATGTTGTTTTTCATCCAGGCCTCTTCCTCATTTACGAAATGGAAAAAATTATTTCAGACCTATTGGTAATCCAGTATTTGCCAGAGATTTGTTAACATTTCCAGACAATACAGATCATTGTCAAACAGGTAAAGGATGTTATTTAAATAGGGGTAGAGATACAAGCTATCTACTTGGCAAATGTATTACATATGGAATCAGGTCTTTGTTAGCAGTACTATATGAATTCATACTTCTTTTAATTTTCAGAAAACTGATTTGTCTGTAGAAGGCTATTATTAATTATTGATAGTTTTATTTGTCATTCTTAGTATAGGTGGAAGATATGGGATATAATTATAAAAATTAGCATGTTCACTTAATATATTTGCCATGTCTTTAATTTTATTTTAATATATTAATGGGGAAAGTTCTCATAATTTGAAATTAGATTTTCATTAATTTTCTGTTTTAGTGTTTGGGATGCTATTAGGAGATACCATCATTTTGGACAATTTGGATGCTGCTAACCATTATAGAAAAGAGGTATGTTTATTTATTTGAGTTTATATTTTTAATTTTCTCCTTATATTACATTTTTTTATAAATATTAAAAGGAAACTTTATTTATTTGCATAGAGATGATAGTAATTTTTATTTATTTTTTTGTTTTCAACATTTACTTCCACAAGATTTTGAGTTCCAAATTTTTACCCCATCTCGCCCCTCCCCCCACCCCAAGATGGCATACATTCTGAATACCCCTTCCCCTAGTCTGCGTTTCCTTCTATCTCCCCCCTTATCTCCTTCCCCTTCAATTTTCTTGTAGGGCAGGATGGATTTCTGTACCCCATTTCCTGTATTTCTTATTTCCCAGTTGCATGTAAAAACATTTTTTTTAAACATATGTTTTTAAAACTCTGGGTTTCAGATTTTCTCCCTTCCTCCCTGCCCCCCCACCTTCATTGATAAGGCAAGCAACTTAATATAGGTTATATATGTGCAGTTATGCAGAACACTTCCATAGTAGACATGCCGTGAAAAAACTAATTCTATTTCCCTTAATCCTATCCCACCCCCCCCATTTATTCTATTCTTTCTTTTGACCCTGACCCTCCTCAGCAGTACTTGCTTCTGATTACCCCCTTTCCAAATCTGCCCTCCTCTCTATCATCCCCTACTCCCTTGTCTCCCCCCCCGCCCCCCATTTTCTTGTAGGGTAAGACAGATTTCCATACCCAATTGAGTGTGTATGTTATTCCCTCCTTAAGTCAGATTCTGTGAGAATAAGATTCATTCATTCCCTCTCACCTTCCCCCATTTCCCCTCCACTGTAAGAGCCTTTTCTTTTCTGGGTTTTTTTTTTGGTGAGATAATTTACCCTGTTCTACCACTCCCTTTCTCCTCCTCCTAGTATAATCCTCTTTCACCCCTTAATTTTATTCTCCAGATATGACCCCTTCATTTTCAACTTATCCTGTACCCTCTATCTATCTGTCTGTCTATCTATATCTATATATACATACATATAATTTTTTCCCTCCAACTACCCTAATACTGACAAAGGTCTCATGAGTTACAAATATCATCTTTCCTGTTTACCTCTTCATTTTCCACTTGAGTCTTGTATTTGAAAATCAGATTTTCTATTCAGCTCTGGTGTTTTCATCAAGAATGCTTGAAAGTCTTCTATTTCACTGAATGACCATTTTTTCCCCTGCAGGATTATATTCAGTTTTGCTGGGTAGGTGATTCTTGGTTGTAATGCTATCTCCTTTGCCCTCCGGAATATTATATTCCATGCCCTGTGGTCCCTTAATGTAGAAGCTGCTAAATCTTGTGTTATCCTGATTGTGTTTCCACAATACTTGAATTGTTTCTTTCTGGCTGCTTGTAATATTTTCTCCTTGACCTGGGAACTCTGGAATTTGGCTACAATATTCCTAGGAGTTTTCCTTTGGGGATCTCTTCCAGGAGGTGATCGGTGAATTCTTTTAATTTCTATTTTGCCCTCTGGTTCTAAAATATCAGGGCAGTTTTCCTGGATAATTTCTTGAAGATGATGTTTAGGCTCTTTTTTTGATCATGGCTTTCAGATAGTCCAATAATTTTTAAGTTCTCTCTCCTGGATCTATTTTCCAGGTCAGTTGTTTTTCCAATGAGGTATTTCACATTCTCTTGTATTTTTTCATTCCTTTGGATTAGTGTTACAATGCCTTGATTTCTCAAATTCTCACTAGCTTCCAATTTCTCCGTTCTAATTTTTAAGGAAGTATTTTCTTCAGTAAGCTTTTGGACTTCCTTTTCCATTTGGCCAGTTTTGCTTTTTAGGGCATTCTTCTTCTCATTGACTTTTTGGACCTCTCTTGCCATTTGAGTTAGGCTATTTTTTAAGGTGTTATTTTCTTCAGTATGTTTTTGGGTCTCCTTTAGCAAGCAGTTGACTTGTTTTTCATGATTTTCTTGCAAAACTCTTATTTTTCCTCTACTTCTCTTGCTTCTCAAAATCCCTTTTGAGCTCTTCCAAGGCCTGGGACTGATTCATATTCTTCTTGGAGGCTTTGGATTTAGGAACTTTAGCTTCATTGTCTTCTTCTGGTTGTATGTTTTGATCTTCTTTGTCACCAAAGTAAGATAATATAGTCTGCCTCTTTTGGCGATGCTTACTCGTGATCCCAGCCAATTACTTGAGTTTTAAACTCTTTGTTAAGGTAAAAAATCTATTTCCAATGTGGAGAATGTACTGTCCCAGGCTTCAGGGGTTTGTAAAGCGGTTTTCAGAGCTACTTCTAGGGACCTGAAAATTTTCAATTCTTCCAAGGTGCTTTGATAAGGGGCAAGGTGTTTTCTCTCCACCGCCACAACAAGCTTCACCACACCAGTGTTCCTCCTCTCCCCAGGACCGCTCCTCAGAACTGTAACCCAGATCCAAGCACCAGTAAAGCAAAAGATTGCTGCTTTAGCACTGGCAAAAAGAACCCTGCAATCCCTCTCTGATCAGCCACTTGATTCCCCCTCAGTCTGTATGCTGGAAGCTCAGGAAACAGCCATGGCCCCGGGGACAGCTGAGAGGTAGCTCCTTCTCTCACCACAGTCACAGACTTTTCCGAATGACCTTCTAAGTTGTCTTTGGTGTTCAGGGGTTGAGAAGTCTGGAAACCTCCACAGCTGCCTGCGATTCAGTCCTCTGAGACCTGCTCCAAGGTCACTGTGGCCTGCGCGCCCTTGCCAAACTGCACTCCTCTCCCCGCCCAGCACGATATACCTTTCTGATCAACCATCCAGGCTGTCTTTGGCTGGAAATTTGTTTCACTCTGTCTTTTTGTGGGTTCTGCTGCTTTAGAATTTGTTTAGAGCCATTTTTTGTAGGTATTTGGAAGGGTTTGGGGGGAGAGCTCAAACAAGTCACTGCTTTCTCTGCACCCTCTTGGCTCCCCTTATATTACATTTTTAAGTAATGATTTTGCAGCTCACATGCAGAAAACAGACCCATTCACAGTTATAAAAGACAGTTATGGAACAATCAATCCTATTAGCAGTTTAAAAGAAAACAATGCAAAAAAACTTCACACCATTCAAAATACCTGAAGTGTCAATATGCTTTGAAAGTCTGGTCTGATAACATTATGCCTTTCCAGTACTTGTAAATATCATAAACTAAACAACATCTAATACATATTGGGAGAGATTTGAGTTTTGATAATTTGACTTTGATTTCAAGTGTCAAAGGAAGCAAACTAAGTTTATCTTGTTTTCCTAAAAGTAGACCCAACTCTTCTAATGGCTTAGAATTATCCTAAATTATTTTATACTATGGGAGTGGTTTGGTTGGCCTATTATATATGGATTTGTACAGCATCCCCACACGTAAATTTGCCACATGTGGGCTATAACATTTACAGTATTTTATTTAAAATGTCTTAGAAGTTTATTCCTTCATTACAACTCTTATCAGTATACAAGTTGCCTTAGGGGCCTTTGAAAGGGTTAATTGTTTACAGAATTAAAAACTAAACTCATTATCTTTCCCCAAACTAACTCTTCTTCCTAATTTCCTTATTAATTAGGAGGGTAGCATATCCTCCCAGTTTACCTATGTTTACAATGAAGGAGTCATCCTTGAATTCTCACTCTCTTTCAACCATCTTATGCAATCAGTTGTCAAATCCTGTCATTTCTACCTTTGCAACATCTCTTGTATAGGCTACTTTTCTTCTCAGACGTTGCCACCACACTAGTACAGGCCCTCATCATCTCACACTTACACCATTGTAATAGCCTGCTGGTTGTTCTTTGCTTTAAATCTCTCCCTTCTCCAACCCATCCTCCTCTCACTTATCAAATTGATCTTCCTAAAGCATAGGTCTGACCATTATGTTCCCTTATTCAGTAAACTCCAGTGGCTCCCTAGGACCTCCAAGATCAGATCTAATATAAAATCCTCTTTTGGCATTCAAAGTCCTTTATAGCATTGCCCTGTCCTACCTTTCTAGTTTTCTCCACACTTTGCTCCCTTTCACATACTCTGAGATTTTGTGACATTACCCTCTTTGGTATTTCTTACACAAGACATTTCATATTCCTTCTACAAGATATTCCATACCCTGCCTCTGGGCTTTTTACTGTCTGCCTTGCATGCCTAGAATTTTCTTCCCTCCTGGCTTTCCTGGCTTCCTTCAGGTGCCATCTAAAATCCAACCTTTTTTTTTTTTTTTTAATTAGGCAATTTGGGTTAAGTGACTTGCCCAGGGTCACACAGCTAGTAAGTGTCAAGTGTTTGGTCTGAGGTGGGATTTAAACTCAGGTCCTCCTGACTTTAGGGCCAGTGCTCTATCCATTGCGCCACCTAGCTGCCCCTAAAATCCAGCCTTGTTCAAGAACCCTTTCCTTATCTCCCTTAGTGATAGTTCCTTCCCTCTAAGAATTTCTCCAAATCTTTCTATGTCTTATTTATATATAGTTGTTTTCATGCTGTCTCCCTTAAAGTATATATATATATATATACACACATACCTACTTACATACATGCATACACACATACATACATATACATATATATCTATAGATAAATAAAATTTTAAAATCCCCTGGCATCTCCTTTAGAAGAAAAAAATAATTTGGAGGCTAATTATTTACCTTTCAAAGCTATTCTTAGTGTGGGCAAGTAGGCTCAGATTAACTAATAGATTATTACTGCTGAAATTGCCTCTTCCAGCTACTACTATGTGTCTTATTCTTCTCACTGCCAAATTGTTCCTCACCGTCCTCTCTCTTTAACCATCTGACACACATTCTTTCTGTTCTACTGCAACTACATTCTTGCAGGTCACTAGTGACCCTCAATAACCCAATTTATTGCCATTTTCTCAGTTGTTAGTGTTCTTTACAGCCTTTGACTTGATTATCTCTTTAAATCTTTTTTTCCTTGAATTTCTGTGTTGCTATTCAATCCAGGTTTCCTTCCTACTTCTTTGACCAGTCCTTAACTAGCTTCTTTTTTTTCCCCTTTCCATAAATGTGGTTGTTTCCCTTTAGCTACATCTTCTGCTTCCAGAGCTTCCACTCCTGCTTTTATGCAGATAATGCCCAAATTTATATCTCTAACTCCTCCATCTTTGTTGAACTCTGGTTCAACATGTGCAGCTGCCTTCTGGCTTACTATTACCTCAGATTCTTAACTGAGTTCCTTATCCTCATCCTCATCCTAACCGTTATCCAGGTTCCCCTTCTCAATTTCTGAACTTTTTTAAAGATACCATATAGTGCTCTTTGACTCTTTCTTTTTCTTCTATATCCAATCATTTGCCACGTCCTATCTACTCTTTTTTCATAATGAATTCCAAGCATACCACTTTATATCCTCATTTCCAGTGTCTTAGTTTAGATTCATACATTTAGCTTGCACTACTTTTTAGTTGATTATACATATGACTGTCATAGTAACTATCTTTATCATTTTTCCCTTTTCCCCTCTCAAAGAAATGGCAGCCGTAACTGAGCAGTCACTGTCTAGGATGTTTAAAAGATCATTAAGAATAGTATTTCCATACTAGAGAAGAGCAAATTGTGTCCTCATTTTCAACAATGGGAAGAGGACAGAATCTGACAACTAGAGTCCAGTGAACTTGACTTCAGTTTTCTCAGAAAAATCCAGATTAGGTCATTCATGAGATGGATAATGAGCTCCTAACGGTGATTGCAAAGATCCAACATAGTTTCTTCAGGTACCCCTCATATTAGACTAATATTAATTCCTTATTGGATGGGGTTATTAAATCGGTAGATCAAGAAATTCTGTACTTAAAAATACCTAGATTTTAGCACAGCATTGTTAAAATAATTCATACTGTCCTTTTGGAGAAGATGAAAAGATACGGGATAAATCGTAATACAGTCAGATAGATTTGATTGCGGTTGAGTGGATGAACTGAAAGTGTTTATTAATGGTTCAATGACACCTTGGCAGGAGGTCTGTAACTTTCTGCTTTTGTGTTTTATATCTTCTTTTCTTAATGCTTCAAGGTTTGCAAAGCACTTTATAATGATTCGATTCTCACAACAACTCTAGGATGTAGGTGGTGCTATTTTCATTTTAACAGATGAGGAAACTGAGGCACAAATAGAGGTTGAGTGACTTGTCCAGGGTTGCACAGTAAGTGTCTAAGGTCAGATTTGAATTCAGGTCTTCCTGACTCCAGGCCCATTGTTTTATCCATTCTCTTATCTAGGAGAGGTTCTGTATCTTAGTTTTATGTATATCCCCTCAGCATCCAACAGAGGAATTTTTTCATTGTCTTTTTATAACTAACTGATAGTGTCGTTTATTTACAATAGGTTGTTAAAATCACCCATTGTCCTACTTTGCTAACAAGAGAAGGTGATCGAATTCGAAGTAATGGAAAATTTGGAGGCCTTCAAAATAAAGCTCCTCCAATGGACAAACTTCGAGGGATGGTATTTGGTGCCCCACTCCCGAGACTCTATCAGACCCTGGGTATCCATATAGGCAAGTCTGTTAGCTATGTTGATTATCTATTTACAGCATACAGTGATCCTCAGTGTTGAATTTGATGTGAGATTCTAACAGAACAAATGTGAGTGATATCAGATATTGGCATGTGTTTTCACTGTGTTTTCAGCTTTGAGTATTAGCAGATATCTTTTTCTGTCACATCTCTCTTTGCCAAATAATAAAATAACACCACATTTACTCCATGATCACTTATCCAGCTATCCAGAAGATAGCCAGGAACAAGAAGGAAAGAAAAAAAAACAAACAAACAAATATCCAAACACCTGAATGTCATGCCTGGAGTTCTCTCCCTTCTAACCTCTACCTCCTGGCTTCCTCCAAGAAATCCAATTTTCTGCAAGAGGTCTTTCCCATCTCTCCCTATACCCCTGTACTCGTAGTGCTTTACATTTCGTATTGTCTCCCATTTACACTGTGTCTGAGTGTGTGAGTGAGGGTGTGTTCTTAAGCATTTCCTGTGGGCTAGGCATTATATTAAGTGACGTGTATTCAGAAAGAAACAGAAGACCATCCTTGCCCCTCAACGAGCTCACAGTCTTAATAGGGGAAACAACAAGCAAACAAATATGTACAAACAAACTACATATGGGCTAAATAAGACATAATTAAAACACTAAAATGGAGAGGTTGTTGAAGCAAGCCTTCCTGAAGATGATGGGATTTTTAGTTGGGACTTAAAGGAAAGCAATAGGCAGAGATGGGAAAGGAGAGGCATGAGATACAACCAGAGAGAATGCCCAGAGCTGAGAGATGGAGTATCATTCATAGAACAACTGGGAGGCCAGTGTCCCTTAATTGAAGAGTACATGGTGGAGAGAAAGGTATAAGAAACTTGGAAATGTATGAGAGGTTAGTTAATAAAGGCTTTGAACTTTAAGCTGAGGATTTTGTATTTACCTTGAGGCAATAGAGAGCCACTCAAGTGTGGGTGGGGTTTGACATGGTTGGACCTCTGCTTTAGGAAAATCACTTTAGTGACTGAACAGAGAATGACTTTGAGTGAGGAGAGACTTGAGGCAGGCATCACCAGCAGGCTATTGCCTGCACCAGAGTGGTAGCAGTGTCAGAGGAGATGCTGCAAAGGCAAAATAATAAATAAATAGATATTTGGATATATAGCTCTATCCATCTGTCTTTCTGTCTGTCTCTTCTGTACAGTGGTTGTTTGCATGTTGTTTCCATCATTAGCATATGAGTTTCTTGAGGACTGTTAGTGCCTTCCTTTGTATCCCCAGTGCTAAGCGCAGTATCTTCTATATCATAAACACTTGATAAATGTTTACTGACTTCACTTGATAAATTGCATATATTAAATGTTCACACATTTTATTTATACAGGAGCCCTTGAGACAGGATTAAAAGGATCAGAGAAAGCAGAAAGGAAAGATTTTTACTATGGCTCTTTACACCTGTTTTATACACAGTTGCAAATTTGGTGTTTTGGTTTTTCTTTAAATAACAGATTACAAGCATCAAGTCAGAGGCGACAGGGAGACCTACAAAAATAGTCACACTGGACAGGAGCAAAAATTGAAAGTTGACAGTTTGACAATGAGGCAAGACAAAAACCAAAAGAAATCCAATAAGTTAAAAATATGACAAATTGGGACCATGGAGGGTATGGGAAATTAACTACACACGCCTCAGCATGTGTGTAAGCATTTTATTATTGATCAGTGGTATGATAGATACTAGGCTGAGAGTTCAGGAAGACTGGTTAAATCCTGCTTCAGATACTTTTTGTGTGACCTTGGGCAAGTTATTTCAGATTTCTCTACTGGAAAATGATGAGGTTGAACTCTATGTCTAAGGTCCCTTCCAGTTTTACATCTATGATCCTGTGTTCATATCAATGATATTTATTTGCCAGTTAAATATTTATGGGGGGGGGCTAGGCAGTGGGGTTAAGTGACTTGCCCAGGGTCACACAGCTAGTAAGGGTCAAGTGTCTGAGGCCAGATTTGAACTCAGGTTCTCCTGATTCCAGGGCCAGTGCTCTATCTACTATGCTACTTAGCTGCTCCAGTTAAATATTTATTAAAAAGAATTCTATCATACATGTTTAAAGGCTTTTTTTTTTTTTAAAGTTCATGCTTAATGGAATCAGTCGCAATTATCTGGAATAGTTACTTCTATTCTATAGTAGTCCATTGTTGGAACCTAAAAAGGCCTTCATGGAATCAGATTGGCCAGTAATACAAAGCAATAGACCTTTTACATGGTGCTTTAAACTCACATGGGAAGGCAGTTTGGACTGAATGGAAACACCCAAGGGTAAAGGGTAAATTATGACAAGGGATACAGCCAGAATCTGGAAGATGAAGGGAACCTGGAGTCTCTCTGTTCATGTTCACTAATGGAATAGAGGTGAACCAGAATCCAGAGAAAGGGCTCCTTGCATGCTAAGCATCAAAGAGGGAATCCATAATATTCATTCAAGAAATGCTTCCAAGACTTTGTTCATTGTTAAGCCAAGTTTTTAATTATTCCTCCCATTGTCATGCATGCCATGTGTCAGTGCAGATTAAGGATGAACAGGGGACCAGATGTTTTATAATAGGGACAGTTTCAGGTATTTATGAATAGTTTTTTACCTCTGATATCACAGGGAGATTGCTTGGGAGTTGGAAGTTTCAACTGGTTTCAAAAAAGAAAGAAGGTGCCTGTCAGGATATGGTAGCATGTATGGAATAGCAAGGGCCTGTCCCAAGAATGTTCCAGGCCCCCCAAAACAGAACTTCTTTTGGACGTGCGTATATGGAATCTTTTTTCTCCCTTAGTAGGCTAGAGAATAGTGTTTTAGCAGTATAACCAGTAATTCTTTTTATAAAGGATCTTCCTCAGAAAAGAAAAAATTTTGACAGCTGCCCACAATGAGGAGTGAAGGGATCTTGATCTGAATGTAAGGAAAAAAATCGTGCTTACAAAAGTGAGATTGCAAATCCATCAAAATAGTTACTGTCCTTACCAATATTTTAATTAGATTTCTTTGTCTTCTGGTAGATCTTCTTCAGCAATATCGCTCAGCAGTGTGCAAACTCAATAGTGTGACTAAGGAGCTTAACGCTCAAATAGACTACCTTAATACTCCAGATATGCAGAAGAAAAAGCAGGAGCTTAGCGAACAGGAGAAAAATCTGGAACGAATAGAACAGAAACTTGGTATGTGTTCATTTTCTGTTAACACTTATTTTGTAGTGGAGATAATTATTTATGCTTTAGTTATTCTAAGAGTACTATGAAAGTATAGTGGGAAAAGATGGTAATGATGGACAATTCATCTCCAAAATGCCCAAGCGTGGTCCTTAAATCACTTTACCATAACTTTTAGAATTTTTTCCTGCTAGTACATGAATGGCATTATAAGTTCTATCATTCTGTCCTCTTTCCCCCTCTAGATTTCTAAGTAAGATTTGAGACTTATTTTTCTGAATTTTATAGCCAATTTGGTTAAAATAATCTTTTATTTTTAAATCCATCTTTAAAGGTATGACTCCAACAGGTAAATGTGAATTAGTCCGTCAGGCAGCTAAACTCAATATGTCAGACAGCCCAATCCCTCCTAAAAGAATGAGACGGGAAACAACAAAAAAACTAAATAGGTAAGTTTTTGTTTCCTTAAATTTAATTTGATTTGAATAATGATGATGGTTTATACACATTGACTCAGTACGTGGCAAGAGGCATAGAATTGATGTTATCTTTATCTAAAGCAGGAAATTGAGGAAGTGTTGATGAGAATGAAGAGCTTTATTGCTAGACTTGCCTTGGGTCATTCTGATTCTTTGAATTTTTTTTTTTTTTTTGTAGTGGTGGTGGTAATGGTTAATTACTTAGCAAAAATCACACAGAATCTATTTTGATTTCTTTATATGAATACTTGAAATGCCCCACCTTACTTTTCTACTTTTTTCTCCAAACATGGGGTATTCTGCTTTACAGAATGACCAGTTATTAGAATCAGCACCCTACTTGAATTAATGTGAAAAATCCAAACCATTTGTACATTGATATGTCATTGACATTTATAAATTTGCAAATTCATAGTCATGGTTTAGTGAATTGGGTGCCATTTAGATTTCATGTTGTGCAAGCTACAGAATCATCTTTGACCTTTTGTCCTCAAGAATATAATGTAAATGTCTTCTTCAGTTATTGTCTTTGAATTAACCAAATCAATAGGAGTATCTCATATCTGAGGTGGTTAGTGGGACTTCCTGTTTTAGGGTGACTGATTCAGTGCTTAAATACTAAATACTTAAAATGTCTGTATAATTTCTAAGAGACATGTAAGGGGGTGTTCACATGAGATGATCCCTGGAGCTAACTGAGCATTGTGTGCCCCCACTGCTCTGCTTTCAGTGAAGATTTTCTTTAGTGTCTAACATGCATTGAAGCAAGCGGGGGACTTCGAGGGAGTCAGCCAAGTTGTGTTCTTGGTGATGAAGTTTTTTCCCCCTAGAAACACATCTCTGAGTTATAATAGATTATATTAGATAATCTATTATAAATGATTCATGGAGTAGTAGATTTTTGTTATCTTGAAAGTACCTTTTTGTGATCACACAGCTCACTCCTTTTTTTTTTTTTTTTCACAGATGAAAATGTTGAGAGATGTTAAATTTTTTTTTCATTAATGACAAAACCTAGTCTTCTTATTTCCAGTATGTTACTTTTTCTTCTCCACCCATTATATAAAAATACTTTTATAAAAACTTTTTTGGGACACATTCGTCATTCAGCAAGATACATCTAAACAGGTGTTTCTAAACAGATGGTCTAACAAAAATTTTTAAATGCTATCAGTGTTTTTCCATTGATATGTCTTTTGGTTAAAACTCTGTTCTTAAAGAAAATCCTTTTCCTTGGGGGATATTTATATTGTTTGTAAATGGATCATATAGGAGTTGAAGGGAGTATTACGAAAATAAAGAAAACTGGCAATTCATATCAGTATGCAATAGTGTACCATATTTGTAGAGAATAAATATTAAAGTTATTAATAAAAGTATTTCGGGTACTTTTCCTGTTTTCTTATCAGTCAACATGTGTTTATCAGACACCATCATTATATCAGGCGTCATCTTAGATAGACCCTAGGGATACAAATAAAAATAATCAAACAGTAACATGCTTATCTGAGATCATCCAGTAAGGAATCCTTTCTTTACCAAAAAGGTCAATATGATCCTTTGAGGTCTGTTATTTTGAGTTGGTTCTAACCCTGACTTTGAAAGCTGTATCACTAATTTGGAGTCCAAAGGTAACTGTATAAGCCAGTGCTTCCTAGCCCTGTGGGCTGCAGATTCATGGGTGGTAGAAGTTATCAAATATGTCACCTGTCATGATGTACTTTTTCAAATAATCTATACTAGAAATATAATTACTTTTATGTAAGGAGATGCTGGTATGGACACTTCTAAAGAGTAGACCTTTTAAGTAGTAAAGACATGATTTTAGGAGGAAAATTAACATACTTATGAAAATAGCTTAAAATTTAAAATGAATATCATGGAAGTCAGTGGAAGGATAAGAGCAGGCTGGAGCATATAATGAATGAGGAACTTCAAAGAACAATAATAAAAAATATTCTCAAGGAAAGATATGATAGGAAGATAGGCTGGTCATACGGTGAAAGCAGGGGGAGAGAGTAGAGTACTCTTCAACTGGTAACGTTTCAATGTTAGCAGAAAGCCAAGAAGGCTTCCATTGGGTAGACAACGTGTATGGACAATAGTAGTGGGCAGGTATACCTGGTTAGGTTGCATCTGCATCATTCATGGGAATTATAAAATCTGTAAGGTAACATAATCTAAGTATTTCAAATTTTTTTAAGAAAATTAATACTTAAAATGTTACCAATATCCTATTTATACATATTGTTACGATTAAGATTCTTCTAATAATTAAATTATCCAAATTAATGTGTGCCTTGGAAAGTAATAGTATTTCTTAAAAGAAAAATCCGTACTTTGGATTTGTCACTAATTTAGAAAAGATCCCTTCCCCGCTTACATTTCCTAAAGGGTATGCTGTGTGTTAAATTGCCATGCAATAGGAGAGATTAGTAGCTCTTAAATCTGATCTATGATCAAAAAATAGAATGTTTTAATCAAGGTAATGAGCTAGTCTGTACCTGAAAAATACCAAATTTGTTAAAGCTAATATTTTTTCCCATACTTAATTATCTGCATAATTTAGACCTTGACTTATTATTAGTTTTGATCTTTAGCATGAACTCTTCATATTAATGAGATATATCAGGGGTTTTTTCGGGGACGGGGTTTGAACTTACTGAAGAACCAATAAATTCTTTCTACTCTTCTGGAAAATTTAGTTCCCCTTAACTTAATGTGAAAAAACCATATCATTTGTACATTGACACATACATCACTCATAATTATGGTTTAGTTAATTGATTAAAATTTTTCATTTGAAAAATTGATAGTATGTAATGATGTTTAAAGGGCAAGAAAGAAAATCATTATTTTGGTCTTAAACATTAATGAAATTTGACCTTTCTTTTTACTTTGTATTTAAGCTATCTTCTTTCTCCTTTTTACTTTTATTATTATTTTTCTAACTTGGATTCAGCAGCCAGAGGAGTAGTGTCTTCCCAGTGCCCTTAGTGACCTTAGAAAGCATGGTTTTTGGGTCATTCACTAAAACAGGAGGACTGTAGGTTTTCAGGTCCTTGCTCTAACCCTAAGTAACTCTGTGATCTTAAGCAAGATCCATATACTTTCTAGGCCTCCTCAGTTTCTTTAAGTAAAAAATGAGGGAGCTAACTAGACTAGATGAACTCTTACATTCTTTTCAAACTCTAAAATTTGATTCTGTAACTTACTAAAGTCAGCAGTTAAGGACAGAGTTTCCCGGGGTAGGCAGTCTTTGTACCAGCACAGTTCATAAAGCCTTCAAAAATTTAGTATGTTTTTTTTTAAATTGCTTTAGTAAAAAAGACAAATTACATGGTGGCCCACCTTTTGACCAATATACTTGTCTCTCTGAACTTATTAGCTGGGCTGATCCTTGAACTGTCGATCAGTCACCAGGCCCATATATAGTTAGGTGCACCACAGCTTGTACAAGTTCCTCTGGTATTGAACCAGGGTTTGGTTATTTCCATGCTACTATGAGTCATCGGAGTAAAACTTTAGAGGAAGTTGTGCTATGTAATGTAGTTAAATTGAATATTTAAGTAACATTCTTCATTAAGCCAACTACTTGTCTTCTGTGTTTGTTTTTTTGTGTTCCATAGTAATTTTTACCACGTTGAAACCAACTTTTTAAATGTTTTAGATGTTTACATTCTACACAGATCTAGTAATAGGATTCCAGTTCTGGATTCTGTAGTACTCTTATAACCCTCCTGAAGTTTTAACACTTTAGTTTCTCAGTTCTCTGCTAAGTTTCAGACCCAGCTCCATGTGGAACCTGAGTACTTACACAATTATATATTTTTATATACAATTATACCTGAGTACATTATACAAAAACTGAGTCCCACAGTTGAAACTCTGTGTGGATGTATTCTACTCTCCTCCATTTGAAATAGATGAAAAATGGAGACACCCCTTTGAGTGTTTACCTACATCTTTACATGACAAACTTACTTTGTAAGAAATAATACTATTAAATTTAATGCTTGCTTCACACCATGTGCATTATGCTTAGGGAGTGAGAAAACCATATCATTCTCTTATTTTAAAAAAAAGATTCAGTGGTTTCCTACTGCTTCCAAAACAAAATACAGACTCCTTTCTTTAGCATTTAAAGCCTTCCATAGTCTGGCTCCAGCCTCTCTTTCCAAAGTGATTTTACGTACTCATGCAATGTTCAGTCAAGCTGGCCTCCTTCTGATGTGCTCCCTTCTGCCTCTGAGTATCTTTATGAGGTTGTCGGCCTTGCCACCCCCATGCACCCTCCTCATCTTGACTCTTGGAACCTTTAAGTTGCTTCAAAGCTGAGCTAGTGCTGCCACCTAGACTACTTTGAACTGCCATGTATATATCTTGTACTGACTTATCTGTACACCTGTTGTTTCCCTCGCCAATAGCATGTAAGCTCCTTGAGGGCAGGGATTGTTTTCATTTTCATCTTCATATAACTGCTCCTGCAGGTGCTACAGCAACAGCTACTGAAGACCCAGGAAGGAAAGTTCTTGCTACCAAAGTCCTTGGTACTGTCAAATAGCTCAACATCAGAAATTGATAAGATGTCATCAAGGGATGTAACATTAAAGAAGAAGCATTAACATCTGCTTTGCTGCTGCACCCTAAGGACCATGGGACCTTTCCATCTGATTTGCAGTTGAAACCTTCCCTAGGTGTTGTCTCCATTAGAATGTGAGCTCCTTGAGAGCAGGGACTGTCTTATTTTTCTGTTTGTATCCCCAGTGCTTTGCACATAGTAAGCACTTAATAAATGCTTGCTTCATTCATTCATCTACAGATACAAAGAAATGTACATATATTTGCAGTTTTAACATCTTTAGAATTTATTCTTGTTCATTTCTCTCTACCTCATTCTGATTAAATGTTTCATAATTTCATGGAAATGAAGATGTGCATGTTAGTGTTAAGGCTGGCATATATTTCTGTCTTTCAACAATGTCTTCTGTATTAGAGGGGGAGTTATTTTCTTTTTTCCTGGCAGAATCTCTATATTCATGCTAGTATTCTGCATGTTTTACTTAACCAAACAGAACTTACATGTACCATTACAAAAAATAAAAATAAATGGTGGAATACTGCACTTAATTGGCACTAGTTACATTACTTGATAGCATTTATAAATAATACCTTTTTAGTTGACTTTTTCAGTCAGCCAGCAAACATTATGTATTAAGCCAGGTGCTATGCTAACTGCTAGAATATAAAGAAAGGCAAGAAATATTTCCTCTTTTCAGCTCGCAGTCTAATGGGGAGACAACTTGCAATTATGTACAGAGAAGATATATACAAGATAAACTGGTGAGAATCTTAGAGTGAAGTTTAAGGTTTACTAGGAAGGGATTCCTATAGAAAGTGGGATTTTAGCAGAGACTTGAAGGAAATTAGAAAGGAAATGAGGATCATTTAGTCAGGGTAAGCAATTCCTCAGTCTATTTCTTAGCAATTGAGCACTTTATCCCAATTAGCAAGCATTGATTAAGCACCAGCTATGTACTCTAGGCCGTGGTGATTCAAAGATAAAAAAGCCTTCTGCCCTCAAGAAACTTTACTTTCCCCCCCAAAACTTGTTTGGGATGGAGGAACATATATACACATATAAGTAAAAACAATTATTTCGAAGTTAGATACTACAAGATAATTTTGAGTTTAAGGGGCAAAAGCAGTAGCAGCTAGGAGTGATTAAGGTTTCCTATAGGACGTGACATGAGCCAACTTTTGAAGAAAGCTAGAAATTCTGACAGGTAAAAGTGGGGAACATGTATAAGACCTGGGGTACAGCCTGGACAAATATATGGAGATGGAAATGAAATGTTTTGTATGAGATATAGCAGGTAGGCTATTTTGGCAGGAATATGTTGTTTATTAAGGGGAAATAATAATATGTAATATGTCATGAAAGGTAGACTGGAGTCAGATTGATAAGGGTTTTGGAAGGGAAACTCAGGAGTTTGTATCTTTGCGTTAATAAATTATTGAAGCTTATTTAATAGTAGAGTGATGTGGTCAGATCTGTGTCTTAGTACTATTAACTTGGCAGCTGTTCAAAAGATGGATTCTAAATGGGAGAGGGTGAGTAGAGAGAACAATTACGTAGCTTGACCAGTTGGCCAGGCAAGAGGTAAAGACCTGAACAAGAGTGGTATTTTGGTATGAGTAGAGAGAAGAGAATAGATGTGACATGATGTGAATGTAGAATCAATCAAAAAGACTTAGAAACTGATTGGATATGTGGTGGAAGGTAGGGGAGAGAGAAGGAGGAATTCAGGATGACTCCAAGGTATCAAACCTGGAAAACTGGAGGGCGCTGTTATTCTTTACAGCCGTATATAGATTGACAATTTGCTGTGCACTGAAATTCACAAGCTTTTTTACCTTCATAAATGTGTATGAGAAAATTATTACTCTTATCCACAATAGTTCGCATGGATATTGAGATATAATTCTGCTGGCCAAAAGTCTCCCACTATGATGAAGAGCTTCCTTTTTCCTTCCCTCCCTCTCTCTCTCCCTTCTTTCACCTTTTCCCCTACCCATGAAGAAAGCAAGAAGTACAGTAGCCATTTTACATATGAAGTCAAGCAAAACATTTCCATTTTGGTGATGGTGATGGAGAAGTAAGAAGAATACAGAAAACAAAAAATAAAAATGTTTCAACTGCCTCAATAGTTCATCATCATTTGTATTATGAATCCTTTGGAATTGTCACAGATCATTTTTTTGATCACGGTAGCTAAGCCACAGTTGATTGTGAAAATATTACTGTTACTGTGTACAGTGTTTTCCTAGTTCTGCTCACATCACTTTGCATCAGCTTATATAATTCTTCCTTGTTTTTTCTGAAGTCATCTCCATCATTTCTTACAGCACAGTAGTATTCCATCACATTCATGTATCATAACTTGTTCAGCCATGCAGCAGTTGATGGGTATCCCCAATAAGGGATTTCAGTAAAAACAAATCTGTGGTACATCAAACCTGATATATTTTCTTCTCCACCTTGACCAGGCTCATAACCAAATCAGATGTGTGAAAGTTGACAGAGGGGCTGTTGGTCTCACTAAGAATGCACTCACTTCTGCAGCTCTGCTTCAGGAGACCAAGAGGGTGACTTAACCAGACTGAATATTTCTGGGGACAATTCAAGTACCAAGGATATGAATTTCCATGTCTGTCCAGATGGGGCTGGAAGCATCCATTCAAAAGAGGGAATTTCGTTGGACAACATGGTCTTACTGGAAGTATCCCAGTCATCTTACTGCTTATTTGTGATATGTTGCAAATGTGTCAAAGGAGAATGTTAGGTCTACACTGTGCAAATGTGGCAGTGATTATAAACCTGACACAAGGCAGTTTTTCATCCTGAAGAAAATACATGCTGAATTCCAGTATAATTACCATGGATGTTGTGGAGAGATGTTTAATGATGACAGACTTTTCGAAAAACTGGACTAGGTTGAACTTAATGAAAATGTTTCAGTTATTGTGAACTAGAGGAATTACTCCAGAGATGAGGTGTTATAAGGTATGAGAGGAAATCGTTAATGCAGAGTTCAGGATAAGAATGTAAATCCGCAGGTGTCTGGTAATTCAGATGTTATGATGCTTCAAAAAACCATGAAAGTGACCACAGTGCACATGCAGTGTGGTAGTGTTTTAGATTCTAGCTGCTTATCCTAATATGGACAGTATGTGCAGTGTGCTCAATTTTTATAAGGAATCATTTGACTTGATGCTTGTTTTTATAAATTCTCAGCCTTAATGCTACATTAACATTGTTTTTGTAATTTTTTATTACTCTTTTTTAAAAGGTCAGGGAAAGTAAAATTACACATTAATGCAATAAATTGATGTTAAAAAACCCATTGCTGAAACATTTATAATGTGTTGTCCAGCTAGTATGTAATAACAGTATGTGGAATCTTTGTCCACAAAAGCAGTTTTCAAGTAAAATCAACTGTTATGTGTATTTATCAGGAGTTATTTCGGGGGGACATTTATGCATCCCAGCAGATGTGTGGTTTTCGACCTTTCTGAACATGCAGCAAAATTAGAAACAGTTATGTTTTCTGTCTTTTGAACAGGTACTGTTTGTTTTAAAAAAAATAAAAATTTGAGATCACCAAGTCATTGTGGTTAGAACCATTGCAAGATGACTTACTCTATTCTTGTTTAAGCTAGTAATATTAAACAACTCTTACTATTTAAAATTATTTAACTATTTAACTTAAATTTACATATCAGTACAGCAATAATAGTGAAATATTCAATCTTTATTATAGTTTTGTTCCTTTGATGTTAGAAAAACCTAAAAACTGTCAAGCATAAGAAGCATATCATTGCTTATGACCAACATAAATTTTAGGAGCTGTTTCCCTAAGATCTGAAGGTTGTTGCTTTTCATCATTTACCTTTGGTATCCAGGTTCTCCTACCTATAACTATGTGCTAAATCATAATATCTTTAGAAATTTCCCCATGGTCACCTAAAATTTTGTTTGATAAGTATAAAAAGGTATCTTGTGTCACCAGTATGGGGAGTTAAATATTGCTGAAAAACATTAGATTTTATTAATGCTTCCAATACCAAACAAATCTAAAGCTTTATTGCATTTTTTTAAATTAATGAAAAATGACGTCTCAATGGTCATGCAAGACTTGATTGTTAAGATTTGCCATCCAGTCAAGAAAGATCTTCTTTTCCAATGGCATTTGCTGGGGGAGAGAGGGAAGAGTGTTTCTGTCGTTTTTGCATTTGAATGTAACTGAAAGTCGTATTGTGTGTAAGTATTAAAATACTGTATACTATGTTCTAAACTTGTAAAAAAAAAAAAAAAAAGTAGAAATGATTTTATTTATATTGTACCAGAACCAATAATAGAAATTTGGCTTAATTGTGGGAAAATAAGCAGAAGCACCAGAATTTTATTTCTGTTAATTAAGTCTTAAGTTCTCCTTACAAAAGAAGAAAACTGGCAGAAGTGAATACTTTAAAGGTAGCATTCACACTGCACTTTTAATACTCATCCAGACCAATGAACATTTATCATAATATTTGTCCTAATAAACCTAATATCTATCATAAGTACAATAAAGAAAAATGGACCAACATGTTTTGAATATCAAAATGAAGATTCTTAGTAGTAAAATGTGTAGATTTTGGAAACAAGAACTTGTTTTGTTCTCCATAGTTAAAGATAAATTTCTGGTGTGTATTTGTCGTTACTGGCCTTCCATCACTTCTTTTGCATATTATTCATGTCATTTTGGGTATATATATTTGTGCAGCTTTACAGTAAATTTGTACTTGTATAATTGAAATTATATTTATTTAATTTTCATTAAAAGAATTCAATATTCTAAAGAATATTATCATCTGTTTTAACAATGGCTGTACAGATTGTTAGTAAGAGGGGAATGTTTGGTTTTTAAAATTATGTGGGTTTATGTTTAATTGCTACTTAAATATCAGTACCCCAAATAGTAAGAAATTTCCTTTTTATATTTTTAGCCCCTTTGTAACCTGGTCACACAGTCACTAGGAAACAAAACAAAAAAAAATTATATTTTTATTACATAATTTTGAAAGGCTAATGCTTCAAGTACAGTGTTTGAAATCTGTGTAGTTTTATATCATCAAAGTGTCATTAATGCTTACTTTGTGGATATGATAGTCGTATTCCAAATATTTCACTTGTTAAATATTTTCATGCAAAAAAGAGAAATCTTCGTTACATATATAATCATTTATAAAGATGCTTGTTTTTTGCCTATAGCTGTGAAGTACTTGTTTTTGTAAGTTTATTTTCTTGTGCATTGTTCTTTTGACCCCCCCAAAAAGATGTTGAAACCTAATGTTACAAATGCGTGGCTACAGTGAAAGGGAAACAGCTTTACTTAAGCTTACTGTGAGAGCAACAAATCAAAAAATTAGGTTCTTATCAAACAGAATTTTTTTTTGTGGTGGATCATTCCATTATAGATTATTTTTAAATTTAAACCCATTAAAATTCAGAAGTATTATTATTAAAATAATTCTCTTTTGGAATCAAACCAAATGTGCAAACTTTTGAAAGTAGAAAAATTTTCAAGGTGGCAAGCTTCTCGACACAAGTAGCCAGTGATACAAGTTGGCACAACTTGGAAATGCCATAGAATTTTAAATCTTCAGACTAGCGGCATCTTAAAAATTTGGGTTCTAGATTGAAAAAAATGGTAATATTCAACCTATAGTTAGCAAGACAATTTACGTCATTTTTGTCACTAAATCTTAAATTACCATAAGATTAACAAATACCAGAAGTCCCCACTCTTGCCCACCTGATTTTCTACGGTGAAACTTTTAGTTAAAGTGTTCTGGGCCTCACTGTCTACCCTTCTCTACATCAAAGGTGTCAGATTCATGGCCCGGTGCATGTAAAACTCCTGAGGTAGGGAGGGGGGAGTACCACTATCAAAATTTTGGGGAAATATTTGACAAAATAAAGATGCAACACAACATAGATAATATTAATATGTGGTTTTCTGAGTCAGTATGCTACCCATAGGATCCCTTTATATTTGAGTTTGCTGTATGTATTCCAGATTTCTCAGCACTGTTAATCTTACCTGATAACCTAAGGACTTCAGGGTTTTACCCTCTGCCCTGCAGTTGAACTGTTGTTTATTTTTTGTATCCTTTCCCCCAGTTAGAGGGTGAGCTCTTTGAGAGCAGGGACAATGTCACTTTTCCTCTTTATATCCCCAATGCTTATTACAGTGCATGGCACATAACATGGTAAGCGCTTAAATGCTTATTCATTCATTCAATAAACACATTACATTAATGTTAAATCTAGTGGAATAAGTTTGCCTCCAAGTATAGTTTTGTAAAGCTTCATTCTTCTAGCGCTTAAATTGAAATTCTTCCTGTTTGCCCTAGGGAGCTTCTTTTTCTCTGGTCTCTGAGTATTAGAATACAAAAGTATTTAATTTTAACCTTCTGTTAATAGGATTTACTACCTTCATTGCCCTTTTCCCCTCTACATTTATGTCTTTCATTTTATCAGGTGGGCTTACATATTCATTTGGGTTCTTAAAAAAGGTCAAATTGAGTTTAACTTTGGATATTTGTAGACACCGTGTTCAGTACATGTAAATGAAAAATCAATTGTAACTGAAACAGTAAAACTAATTAGAACGTGTGCTTAGCAAGAACAGCAACTGATGTAGAGTGTTCTGTTGTGTTGGTCTAGAGTCAGTTGTAATATTTTAGAACTGGAAGGGTTATCTACCTTATCACCCTTTCTCATTTTTTAAAGATACATTTCTGTGCTGAAATTAACTCGGATTAACAAATTGCTGAGTAATAAATTTCTTCTTCGTGTTTTCAGATGTATTGTGGAATTGTCTGTTTTAAATTGTGAAATGTAAGGTATGTTTTTCCTCTTCTAGTAGTTCCAAAGAGTGGATTACATCTCTCTAGAAGAAGCAGAAAATCCACATACAAACCCTTTCACTGGCATTTAATGAAAACTCACGGAAGAGAAAGCATAAAGATACCAATTAGATTGGTTTAAAAACATCTTTGTATTGACTTTATGTGAATATATTATATATATAATTAAATGTTCATGTTGTTAATTGTCTAAAGATTCTTATACTGATAGAAATTAGTTTTTTGTTGCTAATAACTACTTTGGGGGAGAAGTTTTTAAGTAGGTTTGCCTAAGTTTCTGTAATTTTCATTTCTGAGAAGTTAAGATGTCTTGGGATTTTGAATGTGAAATAAAGCTTCAATCTACTCTTTATTTATGGAATATTAAAAGCTTTTCAATAAATGACAGTGCAAACATAGTTATTTAAGTTTCTTAATATAAATTGAGTCTTTCTTTAAAATTTCTTGATCAACCTCATTTTATAAATGAGGAAACAGCGAATTAATATGACTATATGACTTGCTCAAGATCACTAATAATAAGCCCTGGAGCCAGAATTCAAACGCAGGTTGCTAAATCACATAACTTCGGAATTGGAAAGGACATCAGAGACCAAGTCCAATGCATACCTGAAAAGGAAGCCACCCTTCAATATGGCTGACAAGTGGTCATCCAATCTTTACTTGAAGACCTTTAGTACCTAACTACTAAGACAATCAATTTTACTTAGACATAACTTTAATTGGTTAGAAATTTTTCCTGAAACCAAGTTTGAACTTGCTTCTTTGCTGGTTCAACATATTGCTACTGGTTCTGCCTTCTGGGTCCACACTGAAAAAGTGTTGTCATTTTCCACATGATAGTCCTTCAAATGCATGAAGGATCACTATTATGTCTTAATCTTCTCTAGGGTAAACATCCCTAATTTCAGAAACTGATACTTATAACATGAGATTAAGGCTTTTCTCCTTGTTTCTTTCCTCTGAATACAGTCCATCTTACTTGTGTCCTTCCAAAATGCAGATAGTAAATAGTAAAGTCAGAATGTTAGGTTATAGAGTCACAAAATTTTAAATTGAAAGAGACCTTAATGACTTATCTAATCCAAGCTATTGCAAAAAAGGAATCCTCACTGACACATACTCAATAGCCAGTCCCCAAACAGGAACCATGATCTTACCAGTTGCCTATCCACTTAACGCTAGTTGCTCTTCTAAGTCCAAAGACTTTTTGGAGCCTTTCTACCCAGGAGGAGATGATGTACTCAACATTAGAGGGGGGCTTAAGGCAGACCTTAGCTGACTAAAGAGGATGAATACTTCCGCTATATGTCACCCCTCTATAACCAACCACGCCCTAGGACTTAGGTTTGGTCATCATGGAGGACCACGGAGTCACCAGCCATGTTGCTGACACGATTTTTATATCCCAACTTGCTCAGTGAATGATGATCAGATCTACAGCACCATTGCTACTGTGAAGTGTGGTATTAGTTGCTCAATGACTCTACTCAGAATCCTTCATTTTCAAAGTTAGATTGAAACTCTTTCCTCACTCAATCTGTTTCCTCGTGCATATCCACGTCAGACCTATTTTTTCCAAGTTCTTTGCTGTACTTTTCTATTGTACCCTCTAGAACCATTGTTTGATCTTTAACAAACTTTCTTTCATCTGTTTTTTCTCACACTCATTGCACTCTCAGAAACATCTATTTTCCCCTTTGCTTCCCCCCTACCTCCATCAAAACAGCCCCTAGAAGATACTACATACCTAGCCACTTGTCTAGTACTGTATGCAACTTGCTTTCCCTAAGACAGTAATCTAGGAGGAGGAATATGCATATTTTTTTATCCTTACCACTTTGAATCTTCCTGTTATCGCTAAGCAACTCATTATCCTTTGAGGGCCCCTCTATCCACATATTACCCTGTCCAGATGCCAATGGATGACTTCCTCCCTCCCCTTTTTTTTTTAAAGGAGTTCAATGTTTGGTTCATTGTCTTTCACTTCCTCAACCTCTTCACCCTACACATTTAATGTCCTTTCAGATACCCCTTCTTTCCAATTCATAGACCTCTTCAAAATTCATAATCTGCACCTTTATCGCTGCTGGGGAAGAGTAACTTTCAAGTGTACTAATTCTGCTATTCATAACTGGTATTCTTTCTGACTGTAACTTCCCTATCCTTTCATTTCTCCTTGTGCTTCATTCTATCTCTCCCTGCTTTATAATGCCATCCCTCCTACTATTACCTCCCTTTCCTCCTTCAAAACTTGGATTTACAGTTAACCAGTTCAGTTTTATATTGTATTCTACCCTTGAGTCCCTTGCCCCATGTCCTGCCCTTGCTCATCTCTATCCAAACCCTACTACTATATCTGCCTTCTTTGTTACTATCCATTTCTGCTGAAATCTGATGGAGGAATTTGCCCGCGCCGCTGAATGCCCATCTTTTTCCTTCTTCCAAATCGACTAAAATCCTTTCTTCCCAAACCAATTATACTACCCCACCCTCTACATCTCAGTAGAAATGCTTCCATCTGCATTCAGACCCCAAAATTCTTTCCTTGGATGTGGATAGCATTTTCCATCTTGAGTCTTTTGGAGTTGTCTTAGATCCTTGCATTGCTGAGAAAAGCTAAGTCTGTCAAAGTCAGTCATCACACAATGTGGCTGTTACTGTGTACAGTGTTCTCCTGGTTCTGACTTCACTGAGCATCAGTTCATGTCTTTCCAGCTTCCATTACATTCATATACCACAACTTGTTCAGGCATTCCCCAATTGATGGGCATCCCCTCATTTTCCAGTTCTTTACCACAACAAAAACAGCAGCTATAAATATTTTTATATATGTGGGTCTTTTTTCCTGTGATCTTATTGGGATACAGACCTAGTAGTAGTATTGCTGGATCAAAGGGTATGCAGTTTTATAGCCCTTTGGGCATAGTTCCAAATTGCGCTCCAGAATGGTTGGATCAGTTCACAACTCCACCAACAATGCATTAGTGTTCTAATTTTCCCACATCTCCAACATTTATCATTTTCCTGTTTTGTCATGTTAGCCAATCTGATAGGTGTGATGCGGTACCTCAGAGTTGTTTTGATTTGCATTTATTTAATCAATAGTGATTTACAGTATTTTTTATATGACTATAGATAACTTTAGTTTCTTACCCTGAAACTGCCTGTTCATATCCTTTGATCATTTATCAATTGGGGAATGACTTGTGTTCTATAAATTTGACTCAGTTCTCTATATATTTTAGAAATGAGGCCTTGGTTAGAAATACAGGCTGTAACTTTTTTCCCCCCTAGCTTTCTGCCTACCTTCTAATCTTGGTTGCATTGACTTTGTGCAAAAACCTTTCAATTTAATGTAATCAAAATCATCCATTTTGCATTTCATAATGTTCTCTATCCCTTGTTTGGTCATAAATTCTTCCCTTCTCCATAGATCTGACAGGTAAACTATTCTTTGCTCTCCTACTTTTCTTATAGTATCAGTCTTTAAATTGTATCCATTTTTACTTTATCTTGGTATAGGGTGTAGGGTGTAAGATGTTGTTCTGTGCCTAGTTTCTGCCATGCTATTTTCCAATTTTCCCAGCAGTTTTTGTTAAATAGTGAGCTCTTATCCCAGAAGCTGGAGTCATAAAGGTAATTCTTAAATTTGCTCTTTGTGTTTAATCAGACCACCAACTTTTTAGAGATATTTTCACAATCATTAAATTAGAGAAGAAATAATGAAAATAAAAATAAAAAGATATACTCCGACACAGTCTATTTAAATGTACTGTCCATGTTGGAATGTAGAAAATTGATAAAAATAAACATCAAACATACTATAATTTCCTAAGGACCTTTAAACCACAATAAATAATTTTTTCATAATAAGGAAACTGAAGTAGTGTAGAATCTCCATCCAGTAAGTATGAATTATCCTTGCCATTTGGAGAAATATGCTAACTGAAGGCAACACTGGCTTAGAACATATATTTGTTTTTAAGCATGGTGGAAGATCATGAGCAACATTATTTCATGAAACAGCAAGAAGCAGCAGAGTAAAGATTAGTTTACAGAAAACTTACTGAGAGACCCAACTAAGCAAAACCATCTGAAAGATATTTAAAGGCTATAAAACTGGGAAGATAACAAACAGATAAAAAATGAAAATAATCCAATAGAAACAAAAGTTCCAATGGAAATAAAAGTTCAGTAACAATCAATCTTCTCCATTGACAGTAGGGCCAACAATTTGAACTTTTAAACTTTATATTCCCTGTTGTACAACATAAAGAAGTAGAAATGGCAATAAAGAAAACAAAGCTGTGAACAGCAGCTGGACTAAACCAAGTATATAAGGAAGAGTGCCATACTGGAGAAGAAATGATATTGAGAGAATTGAGGGTTGATTCTCAAGCTATCTAAAAGAAACAAGGGTATCAATGCTTGAAGAAAAATCTTGGACTTTATTCTTACCAAAAAAGATAACCAAGAAAATATACCTACTGAAAACATGCCTACTTTTCATTTAATCTGCACAAAATATTCATTATAATTCTCTACATCACATGAAGGAATGCCTTGATGAAAGTTTGAGAGGAGAAGAGGCAGGCATTTGCAAATAGCATAACACCCATTGCAAACTACATATTTATAGTCACCCAGGTGATTGAATGGTAGAGAGAATACAAGATCCCATTGTCCTTATTGTTTGTTGATAGTAAAAATGTTTGACTTGGTATATTAAAAAGCCATCTTGGCAAATTTCTTCCAACAAGGTATCTCCTGTATATGTTAACATCATAAAATATTTCATGGAAAATTTAACAGAAAAACTTAATTCTCAATTATTATTAAACAAAGCAAAGAAATGTATGCGTGCCAAAGGTGTTCGCAACTGTCAACACAAGATGTTCAGTAGAGATTTCCAATGGAAAGGGGATCCTGTGTAGATGAAGAGGTGCTGCAAGTGCTCTTGTTTGCAGGTGACATGCTGATTGTAGGGGGAAAGGAAATGGAATAAGCATTATTATATAGCACTTACTATGTGTTAGGCACTGTGTTAAACACTTTAATAACCCCGTGAGGTAGGTGCTATTATTATGAGCCCTATTTCATAGTTAGGAAACAAACAGAGAGATGTTAAGGGATTTGCCCAGGGTCACATAACTAGTGTCTCAGGCGATATTTGAGTTCATATCTTCCTGCCTCTAGGCACAGTATACTCTTTACCACCAGCTATCTCGTGTGGCAAGCTGTATAACATTTGAGAGCCTTATTTATGACAACTGTAGCCTAGCCTTATGCAGTTTGATGAACAATTCACCAACCTGATCAATCAGTATATATATCTTGAAGCATTGTGTATAAAGAATGAGCTGACCTTAGTTCTGAAGAGGA